CATCTACCTCCATGCCTGAGCTCTTTTCCCCTGGATGTCAAACAGCTTAGGGTCCCAGGTTCACCTGCTTCCCAGGCAAGTCTTGTGAGACGTGCCTGCTTGCAAACATGTTTCCTTAGGACTGGCGGGGGTGGGGAGGGTCTGGCTGCTTTTATTTATTTATTCATTCATTCATAGATTTATTTGTTTATTTTAAAATATATTTTATTGATTTTTTTTACAGAGAGGAAGAGAGAGGGACAGAGTTAGAGACATTGATGAAAGAGAATCATCAGTCAGCTGACTCTTGCACGCCCCCTACTGGGGAGGTGCCCGCAACCCAGGCACATGCCCTTGACTAAAATCGAACCTGGGACCTTTCAGTCTGCAGGCCGACGCTCCATCCACTGAGCCAAACCAGTTTCAGCTGGTGCCTCACAATTTTCTAGGATATTTGCTCATTCATTCTCTCATTCATTTACTCAATCACTCACTCATTCATTCAACCAAGAGCTAATGGAACATCTGCTGCTGCTGGGCACTCTTCCGAAAGCAGATCCCCACCCTCCATGGGGTCACACTCTTAGCACCGAGTGAGCTGAGGGTGCAGCCTGAGGTCCCCTGTCAAGCCCCACTCCCCAGTCCCCTGCCCCTGCCCAGCACCACACAGCCTCAGGTCCCTGCTGGTTGCCTGTTAAGGCTCATTACGGGAACTTGGCCTCTGCTGTGGGTACAGCCATTTTGTATTACAGAAACCCCACCTCTGCTGTGGGTGCCACCATCTTTTAGTGATGGCATGACAATTTATTAGATAGGATTGATTTCAGAGAGGAAGGGAGAGAAGGAGTAATAGAAACATCAATGATGAGAGAATCATTGATCAGCTGCCTCCTGCACACCTTGTTTTCTATGGGGAAAGCTGCTGTTTATGTCATGCAGCCCGTATGCCCAACTTCACGGAGCCGCCAGGCAGGTCTGAGAAACATATGTGTGTGTGTGTGTATATATATATATATATATATATATATATATATATATATATATATATATTTTTTTTTTTTTTTTTTTTTTTTTTAATTGTGAGGCACCATAGAAAGCTGAGGGCTGAGGCTTCAAGCCTTTCCCAAGAGAGCCTAACTCTCAGCAGTGGGAGCAGAAGTGCCCAGGACCACGTCTGAGGCTTTCCTCCCATCCAGGACTGTGGCTGGTGCTAACAGATTCCCTGCGATCGCGCTGTGGGTGGGGGTGCGGATGGGGGCCGGGGACAGCCCCCTGCTAGTTCACCCAGTTAACACCCTCGGGGCTTCCAGTTAGGCGACTTCAAACGCCTCAGGCCCGCAGCCCGCAGGGTGATTTTCCAGAAGGACTGACGCTGAGAGCCGTGGCTGCCGTGGCTCAGGTCCCCGCTGGCGAAGTTGGGCGCCTGGTTCCCTCTGCGCCTCTCGGGGTCTGTCACCCAGCGAGCACCTGGCGCACAGAAACCTCGGCTCCGTGTCAGGGAGCAAAGGGGCGGCTGGCGGCCGCAGCTCACGGCTTTCCTTCCTCTCGTCTCTGTCTGAGGAAACGGGGGTTTTCTCTTACTTGCTCCTTTTCTTTCCTTTTTGGTAGTGTGCCGGAGCTGCAGGACCGCGGCACGTTTCCAATGTGTCCCCTTCCCGACAAGCCTTCCAGGATGGGCCCCCGCCAGAGGTTACGGCGTTAGCCAGACCCGTGGTTGGGAAACTGCGGCTCTTTGGCCCCTGGAGTTTTTAGCAAAGACCAGCTTAGGAGCACCCTAATTAAGTTAATAACAATGCACCTACCTATATAGTTTAAGTTTAAAAAATTTGGCTCTCACTGAAACCGGTTTGGCTCAGTGGATAGAGCGCAGGCCTGCGGACTGATAGGTCCCGGGTTTGATCCCAGTGAAGGGCATGTACCTTGGTTGTGGGCACATCCCCACTAGGGGGTGTGCAAGAGGCAGCTGATGGATGACTCTCTCTCATCGATGTTTCTAACTCTCTAGCCCTCTCTCTTCCTCTCTGTAAAAAACCAATAAAAAAAATAAATAAATAAAAAATGTGGCTCTCAAAAGAAATTTAAATTGTTGTACTGTTGATAGTTGGCTCTTTTGACGAATGAGTTTGCCGACCACCGAGCTAGATATCAGGGGCCTCCAGACCCTCAGGGCCTGAGGATGAGGTTTGGGGGCCACAATATCCAGGAACCATGTCCAACCCTCCTACCCCCCTGGCTGGTCACCTCCAGGGAAGTTCTCCCACTGCCCCTTCCACTGGGCTCAGACGTCCTGGCTCCCAAGGACGATCGGAGGCTGGACCTCAGGACCCTGGCCCCCCTGCCCCTCCGTGGCATCCTCAGGAAGAAGTGGGTTTTCCTATATGACCACCTCAGCCAATCATTGCTCTCTTCCAAATCCAGGTTTCCTGTGAGTGCATTTGATTGGTGGAGCCTGAGTCACATGCCTGCCCTGCTGCACAAGGGATGCTGGGAAAGCGAGTCATGACTTCTGTGTCAGGGCGGCAGGTCTCCTAAGGAGGGAAGCTTCCCAAACTTGGGACGGGAATTCCAAGGTCTAGGCAGGACCACAGCACGCTGTCCACTGCGCCTTCTCCCACACAACGGACTGTTCTCCTCTCTGCGTGTGACACAGCACAAGCTCAAGACCCAGGTGCCTCTCTCCGGCCAGGCTTCTCTGTCAGGACTAATGGGAGCCTTTCTGCTCGGAATTTGCTCTCAGGGACCTTGTCCCAGTGACCAGCGCTGAGAAAGGAAGGACACATGCAGATGCGTGCCTCGTTCAGCCGTGGCAGCTGACTTCCAGCACGGACACATGCACGCATGTAACGCAGAGTACTTCAAAGATGCCATTCTCCCAAGCAAATCCGGGTGCTGAGTCACCAGCAGGTCAGGACCTTACAGTCCCTCACCCTCCGGATGCTTAAAGAGTGTACCTGTTTCGCCTGATTCCCACCTCACGTGCTGCACGTACACGGACTCATGGCCTGGCCTTCACGCCCCCAAAGGAAACGGGTGTCTTGGGCAGAGGAGGCTTTGAAACAGGGAGAGCCGGGTTCATAACCAGGCCACCTCCTCACAGCCGATGCCACTGCAGCGAGCACTTGCCCTCCGAGCCAGTGCCCTGGCTGTGTGCTAGGGCAGCGCTGCCTCCTTGCTGGGAGCAGAGAGGGGTGTGATGTGGGCATAGCAGCTGGGGGGACCCACCAAACAGGTGCTTCCTCAGAGCCCTCGTCTTCGCTTAGCTGGGGACAGATTCCTTCCTGACCACCCCCTGCCCGCAGGAAGGACCCACGGCCATCGCCTTGGCCTGATTCTCGGTAATGCTCCCCCCCCCCCCCCCATCTGGCCCCAGTCGCTGCTGGGAGGGTGGGAAGGGTGCGCACACAGGTGAGACGTCAGGACCCAGTGCATTCGTAGGTAAACGAGTGAGGGCTGTGCCCAAGGACCGAGTCTGGGAAAGGACAGGGCCCAGGGCCACAGAGAGTTACATCCTGCACACGCCGACTCCCCTCCTGAAGCCACTGGCTCCCCTCATGTGTGAAGAGGGCAAAGTGCTCACCAGCGCGGCTCGGCGGTGGAGCAGTGATCTATGAACCAGGAGGTTACGGTTCGACTCCCGGTCAGGGCACTTGCCTGGGATTTGGGCTCCATCCCCAGTGTTATTACACAGCCGGTCAATGATTCCCTCTCATCGTTGAGATTTCTCTCTTCCTCCCTCCCTCTTCCTCTCCGAAATCAACAAAAAAACATTTTTTAATAAAGAGGGAAAAGGAACTCTGATTTGAATCGAAGATGTTTCCTGGCCACGGGAACGAGAGGGCAAATCTCTGAGGGACAGATCACGTGACCGAAACGCAGCCGCAGTGAAAAGTGGGCGTTCCCACCAACAGCGAAAAGGAGCTTCACTAAGAACAACTTTGTGTAAAATGCATTTATTCTCGGAAATGCCCCTGACAAACAGAATATGTAAGAGAGAGCCTTGCCGAAACCGGGTTGGCTCAGTGGATAGAGCGTCGGCCTGTGGACTGAAGGGTCCCAGGTTCGATTCCGGTCAAGGGCATGTACTGTGGTTGCGGGTACATCCCAGGTTGGGGGATGTGCAGGAGGTGGCTGATCAATGTTTCTCTCTCATCGATGTTTCTAGCTCTCTATCCCTCTCCCTTCCTCTCTGTAAAAAATCAATAAAAATATATATTTTAAAAAATCAATAAAATATATTTTTAAAAAAAGAGAGAGAAAGAAAGAAAAAGAAAAAAGAAGAGAAAGCCTTGCCTCCCACCCCCAGCCCTCACTGCAACCAGGCACTGGGGGGCGTGCATGGGGGCGGGTCACCGCAGCCCCTCGGGGCACAGGAACCAAGTACTCAGGCCCAGTCCCGGCAGGAAACCAATCAATGTCTCACTAATAGAAAGAGGCTGATCAACCTTGAAGCTTGGAAAGGTGAGAGCCAACCACGCCCTATCTAATTGAGACAATAGTAACTGAGGCAACTTCCCCATCTTGTAATCATGTAAATCCTTACTGATATGATAATCCGCTTATCACCTGCCTAAGGGCTATGGGTGTTTCCCAAAGCTGCTTAAGGGTACTGGGTATATCCTATAGCATCCTCAATAAAAGGGACAGCAAGGCCAGAGCCTAGAGAGTCTTCCCACTAGAGGTTGACTCCCGCCTGGCCCCCCATTTGTCCCAAATTAACTTTTCTAGTCTCTCTCTTCATTTTAGTGTGTGACCTCCTCCAGAAGCCGGCCCCTGAGAGGGCCCTAATCACGCGGGTGTGTTGAGGGTTCCCACAGGCCCCCCCGACATCACGCCCCTCCCAAGAGAGCGGGCCCTCTTGAAATTCATGACAACAGAGCAAACCGGAAAGTCGGGGAGGGATTCTGTCGGGGTGCCTGTGTCTGCCCCCTGCAGCTGACATGGGCAGACGGTGCCCTGTGCCCACACAGGCAGGCACCAGAAAGCACATGGGCCGTCTGCCGTCCCTGGCGCCTTCTCGCCGGCTAGTCTGCGCCCGCGGCCCAGGCGGCCTTCTTGGTGTTCAGGAAGTTCTTCTTCCTCCGGGGCGGCCCATGCAGCGCGAGCTCCGGCTCCGCGGAGTTCCGGAAGATGAAGAGCTTCTCGCCCGTGCCCAGGAAGTCCAGGGCCTCTGCCCCGACGATGGGCACGGGCACCAGGTCGCCGCCGGCCTCCAGGGACAGGCGCGGCCAGCCCCCGTCCCCCGAGCACACCCTCCGCTCCCTGAGCGGCGGGCACGGCTTCCTCAGGATGCTGCCGACAGAACGGGAGACCACGTGAGTGTCCGGGAGCACCCCCTCTCTGCCGCTAGGACCCCACCAAGTACCCTCGCAGAGAGAGGTTTTCTCGTTGATCGCCGGATGGCCCCCCGAGATGGGCTGCAGACAATCTGACCAGCTCACAACCGTCAGTGTCAAGAGTTTCACCTGCCGAAACCGGTGTGACTCAATGGATAGAGCCTCGGCCTGCAGACTGGAAAGGTCCCAGGTTCGATTCCGGTCAAGGGCATGTACATTGGTTGCGGGCACAACCCTGGTGGGGGGTGTGCAAGAGGCAGCTGATTGATGTTTCTTTCTCATCGATGTTTCTAACTCTCTATCCCTCTCTCTTTCTCTCTGTAACAAATCAATAAAATGTATATTTTTAAAAAGTTTCACCTGTTGCCATCCTGCTGTTCGCATGCCATCAGCCATGGTGGGAGTATTTACACCATGGAAATGGGCACATGCTACACTTCGGAGCTCCCAGCCCCCTCCCAGGTCACCCCTGCCTGTGGCCCCACACTGAGAGCTGGCTCCCCCATCCTGAGGCCACACATCGACTGGTGTTCTCTGGTGGAGCACTCCACAGCTGACCCTCTGGGATGGGGCTCCATGTCCGGATCTAATTTCTCGGGGACTAAGATCTGCCCTGCAGCCTACTGGGGTTTCCAGGGGGCATTCAGGGGGCGTGGCCTCAGCACTTGCACAGGGGCTCTGAGAAATTAGGGAAGGGGCAGGGCTCCGGCCAGACACGCCCCTTGGATTCCCGCTGTTGCCAGGGCCCACACTGAACTAGCTGCTGCTCCTCTCTCTCCACATCCTCTCCCAAGGGCATCCCTGGAGACACTGCTCAGCTGCCTGCAGCCACTCCGCCCCCTCCCCTCTGCTCCCCGGGGTGCAGGCACCGTTAAAGGAGAAAGACACTCCGTAGAGAGGGAAGCACTGGCCTGGGAGGTTAGGGAGAGAAGGGGGCCAGTTAGATGTCCCAAGTCCCGGGGCCACTGTTTACAGCGCAGACCGGGGCCGCTGCATCCGAGTCCCTGAGCTCCGGGGCTATCGCCCCCACTTCCTGGGAGGCTGGGAGGAATCCCTCCTCTAATGACATCCCATCGAAAGGGCCGCTGGTTAAAGGCATACAGTAACCCCAGCGCTAACGTAGGGTAAGCGAACACCCCCGCTAGCTGGAGGCTCACCCTCAGCTCCTGGAGGAGGAGGAGACTATGGTCTCTAGGAAGAATGGCCCCTTCTCGTCCCGCCCTTTCCACCAGCTCCCAGGCTGCCCTCGTCCCCGAGCCCTCCCCCCCCTCACTCTTCTCCTCCCCCTGCAGGTGCCGTCATCACCTCTCCTTCCTCCGGCGCGCCCACAGCACCTTCTCCAGGCCGCTGCGCCTCAGCTCCGCGCACAGCCTGCTCTCCAAGGCCTGCCACCAGCCCTGGTGCTTCCTGAGGCGAGAAGGAGCGTCCGAGTTCTCAGGAGGAAGACACTGGCCCAGGAGCTAACCTCCCGCCCGAGGGGAAGGAGCCCCACCAACAGGGTCCCACAGCACGCGCCTCGGGGGAATACAGACAGCCGGTAAAACACCTACAAACGTGTTTCAACAGCTGTGAGAGCATGACTCTAAATTGTGTCAGTGGATAGAGCGTCGGCCTATGGACTGAAGGGTCCCAAGTTCGATTCCGGTCAAGGACATGTACCTGGATTGCGGACATATCCCCAGTAGGAGGTGTACAGGAGGCAGCTGATCGTTGTTTCTCTCTCATCGATGTTTCTGGCTCTCTATCTCTCTCCCTTCCTCTCTGTAAAAAATCAATAAAATATATTTTTAAAAATTGTGTATAAAATAAAAGGAAATATATTCTAAACAGTGTGGTAATCTACACTAATAAAAGAGAAATATGCAAATTGACCAAACCTTTGCAATCCCACCAGCCAATCAGGAGTGAGTATGCAAATTAACCCAACAAAGGCAGCGGGGGCAGGGAGGGGGGCAGGACGCAGGCATTCTGCAGCGCCCCAGCAGCTCCGGGCCTCTGGGCAGCGTGGGAAGGCAGAAAGCCGTTCCAGCCAGAGCGAAGGCAGTGCCAGCAGCCAGGGGGAGGAAGGCCCATCTTGCACGAATCTTCGCCCATCAGCCTCTAGTTATTATATAAAGGGACTTTGCACATCGGCCAGAGCTGGAAAGAAATAAGAACACCAGCCTCTGCCCGAGGTTCTGGGAAGCATGATGCAAGGCTGTGCACAGGGATTACCACACACACATGCACACACAGTAGACCCATGCATGCACACACACATGCACGTATGCAGACACATACGCACGCATGGACACACGTGCATACACGTGAATACACACAACCCAGCAGAGAAACATGTGAGGGAAGAACTGCAGTCAAATACCACCAGCCCTTCCCTCCAGCTGGTAGAACCATGATTTCCCTGTTGTGTTTTTCACACTGTTTCTTGCATGTATGTATTTCACAACGTGTGTCCGGCATAGCTACAGCCCAGAAAACTTCCTTCCTTAAGGTTCTCCCTGGAAAGCAAACTGGTGACAGAAGGAGAGAGTGTGGACGAAGCCGTGGGACCACAGGACGGAAAACGATCCAGGACGACGGTCCTGGCAGCCCCGCCCTGCAATGGCACGCCGGCCAGCAAGGCTGTGCCGTGGCCCCGCGCCCGCCCTCCGTCTGTTCTCCGGACTCTTGCTCACTGCTCTCCGCGGTGCCGGGCACCCACTCACCCCCTGCGGCCCAGGTCGGCCTGCTCCCCGCCGCCATCCTGCTCCGCCTCAGGGTCCAGCTGCCTCTGGCTGAGCGAGTCCAACAAGGCTAGCAGCTCCGGCCGCGGGGCCGCGGGCAGGGCCATGCTCAGGAGGCGGCGCAGCGTGCCCGCGGGCACCATGGTCAGCCTGGCCAGGTAGGAGGCCAGCCGCAGCTCCTGGGGGGAAGGACAGCTCTGAGCACAGGGCGCGGTGAGCCGGCCCGGAAGCGGAGCCCCAGCCCGGCCCGCGCCCTCACCTGGCCGTACAGGCCCCCGAGGGCCTCTGCCTCCATGGTCTCCAGCAGGTCCTCCAGCACCACGGCCCGCGCCTGCTCCTCCCGCCGGCTGCAGGGGGACACCGCGTGAGCCGCTGGCTGTCTGACAAGAGCCGCCATCCAGCCGCCGGGGCGCTGTCAGCCCATGGAGGCCCGGCCAGCGGGGGGCGCCTCCCTGTGCCCAGCCCCCTCCCGGGGATGCCCGCCGGCCGGCTCACCTCTGCTGCTGGCGCTCCAGGAGCTCCTGGCTCCGGCCCAGCGCCCGCCGCAGCACCGCTGAGACCAGCCCCTCGGACTCCGACTCCGCGTCCTCAGGCTCCGCCAGGGGCCCGGGCCCGTCCCCCGCCCACTGCTGCCGCCCGGCCAGGGCCCGCTGCCGCTGGGCCACCTCCTGCAGGGCCAGCTCCTCCTCCAGCTTCCTCTCCAGCTCCTGGAGCTCCTGCAGCGGAGGGGCGGGGTGAGCGCCAGGCCGACGGTGGCCTTTATTTTCGGGAAGACCGCTCGCTCTGGATCCGTGTGGAGGGGAGGCCGGGGCAGAGGAGGCCGGGAAGGTGCCGCTTCCCAGCCCGTGACCTCGGGGTAAGGCCGCCCTTCCCGCGCCTCCCTGGCACCTGCAGGACGCGCACGGAAATGGTCCGTGTCCCGTGTCAGCACAGCCCGGGCCCCGGGCGGAGTGAGGGCTGCAGCCACGGAGCCGCTATGAGCATCTGTAAGCGATTCCAGCAAGGCCTAGATGCCTCAGAGCTGTGAAGCCAGGCAGAAGAGAGAGAGGGAGGGAGAGAGAGGTGGAGGGAGAGAGAGGGAAGGAGGAAGGGGGCGGGGGAGAGGAAGAGAGGAGGAGAGAGAGAGACAGAGAGAGAGAGAGAGAGACAGAGAGAGAGAGAGAGAGATATGGGGGGAGAAAGACGGGGGGGGAGAGAGAGAGAGAGAGAGAGATATGGAGGAGAGAGAGAAGGAAGGAGAAAGAGAGAAACAGGAAGACAGAGTATAGGAGGAAGGAGGAAGAGAGAGAGAGGGGAAGAGGGAGAGAGAGAGAGAGAGAGAGAGAGAGAGAGAGAGAATGAGGGAGAGTGAGGGAGAGGGAGAGAGAGAGAATTCAGATCGAATGGACACATGGGTGAGGAGCAGCTAGTGGGCAGTAGGCCGAGGGGAGAGGAAGACAGGCCACAGCGGGGGAGGTGGGTGCTAGCCATCTGTGTGAGCTCAGTGCAGACTCGGGGTGCAGTCCCTTAGGGGCTGCATGGCCCACTGCACCTGTCCCGCCTCCTTCACGTCCCGTCCCTGCCTGTGCCCAGACTCAGGGACACTCTGCACGTGTCCCAGCTCCACAGACCCGCCGACATCATCTGTCAGACGGGGCACTCGGTAGCTTTCCCCAGGAGCCATTGCTGCCAACGCGATTCATGTCAGGCCTTTATCCCCCCCCCCATCACCCCTCCACCCCGACTCTGACAGCGTGAAGCTGAGGGGGACCCTGTGCTCCCGGTAAGAGGCCTCACTGACCCCTCCCCACGGCCCTGGCCCTGCAGGGGGACAGGGCAGCCCGCCCACTGGGGTGGAGAACCAGGTGAGCAGAGGGGTGCTGTGGGCGCACTCACGGGGCTGTGGGAGTCCAGGATCTGGGCGCAGGCCGCCTTGGTCAGCGTGTCCGACTCGCTCAGCTCCTCCAGCAGCAGGTCCTGCACGCTCAGGAGGGCGGTGTAGGCCCGCAGCGTCCGCGCCGCCCGGGCCGCCTTCTGGAACTGCAGGGCCACCAGAGCCTCGGCGAAGCGGCCCTCCTGCGCCTCCAGCTGCTGCACCCGCTCCCGCAAAAGCTCCGCGCGGACCTGGGGGGGCAGGGCCAGGGCCAGCGGGGTCAGCGGAGGCCGGAGCGGCCGCCGTCAGGTTCCCATCTTTAACTCAGGCCTCTGTGCAAGGTCTGCAACAGTTGCAAGGACGCGGGCCGGGAGTCTGCAGCCTCAGACCCAGGGGCCCCTCTGGTGACCCCCCACGGGCTCTGGGGTCCGGCTGCTCCTTCCGTGCCGACCGCTCTTGAAGGTAAACCAAACCTCGCTGCCGTGGGGCGGAGATCCTGCAAGGCTCCCCCCAGCGGAGGGTTTGTTTCAGGCTCCCCAACCCCAGGCAAGGTCCCCTGGGCGGGTGGGCTCTGTTCCACCACCTGCACCCCCACCTGCACCCCCCCCGCGCGATGGCCACCCTCGCCGGCCGCCCCCAGCCCCCCGCTTCCCACGCCGGCTGCTGTGCCAGCCCTCAAGACGGCTGAGCGTCCCCGCCCTCAGCCCACAAGGCGTGCTCACTCTGCACGTGTTTGTCCCTCTTCTCTGTGACCCCACGTTCCACGCTTTCTGCCTGGGGGGGGGGGGCTTCACCACGCTGTCCACCCCACCAGGACACGAGCCCCCGAGAGGACCGCAACCAAGGGGCTCAGGGAATTCCAGATGAGTGAACCCATTCCCTCCACCAGCTCCCTCCGTTAAGTAGCTCATCTTACCCCCCCACCCCTACCCACCACCGGGGCATGGCAGCCACGTCTCCTGCCAAGCGCAATGGGCAGCGGGCGAGGGGCAACGGGCAGCGGGCGAGAGGCAGCGCCCACCTTTTCCAGCAGGTCCTCCGGGGCCGGGCTGTCGAAGAGCTGGATTTTGTCCTCGATGCACTTGCGCAGGAGGTCGGCTTTGCTTCTACTCCGGGCGCGCGGCTTCCTCGCCTTGGGCTGTGGCTGGAGAGGGGAGAGCCCGCTGCACATCCCTCAGCCTGGCTCCCAGAGCCAGGCCCGGAGGGCGGGACAGGCTCGGGGCTGGCAGGGACCAAGACGAGGTCCTGGTGCTCAGCGAACTGGGATCCAGTTCATGAGCGAGGGGAGCAGATGCGACCCTCTCCGAGCCTCACTTCACACACCTGTGAAATGGGTACCTGACTCGTTCGATCCCTGAAAGAACCTAACGCTAGGTAACAACACAAAAAACGGAAAGTAACACAAGACAGCGTGCCGTCAGGCACCGCAGCATAGCACAACAGCACGGTATGACACAACACCATGTGACACAGCACAATGCAAGGGATCCCACCCAGGGATCGGGCCTAAACTGGCAGTCGGACATCCCCTGAGGGGTCCCTGATTGGAGAGGGTGCGGCCGGGCTGAGGGACACCCGCCTCCATGCACAAATTTCGTGCACCGGGCCACTAGTTTATAAATAAACAGAATACAAAATGTACTGCACACCTGCTGTGCGACAGGCACTGTCTAGGCTCCAGGGTCATGGCCACTGGTGGACAGTGCAAGGACCCGGGCAGGGAGAGCTGGGCGGGCACCGGCATGTCCACTACAGTCCTTAAGGGCAGGACATGCTTGGCGGTTTTAGGAATAGCTGACGCCAACACGCTGGAGAGGAGGATGGGGGCCGGTGAGGTGAGGTGAGGCCCGGGCGGGCGTGGGGGCCGGGACCCACAGCCTCAGCAGGAGCCGCCCACCTCTGCCGTCCAGAGGCCCCGGCCAGCTGGCTCAGTTGGCTGGCAGGTCATCTCATGCACCAAAAAGGTGGGTTTGGTTCCCGGCCAGTGCACATGCCTAGGCTACAGGTTCGATCCCCAGCCGGGGAGAGTATGGGAGGCAGCTGATCAATGCTTCTCTTCCCTTCTCTCTCTCTTCCACTCTCTCTCAAAAAAAAAAATTAAAAAAAAAAAATATATATCAAAAGAATTTTTGGCCCAGAAAGAAACTCACTACAGACTGATTCATCTGCCTCTCAGCATAACCATTATTGCTAGTCTCATGTTCGGTTCCTATAAGTATATTTCCAGTAGGACATGATCTCACTCATCTGGGGGAAATGGCGAACAACATAGACGGATGAACAAGAACAGACCCAGAGATAAGGAGCCATGGGTCAGACTGTTGGACCTCAGAGGGAGGGTGGGGATAAAAGAGAGAGATCAACCAAAGGACTTGTGTGCACACCTATGAGCCTAACCAGTGGTCAGGGACTATAAGGGGGCTGGGGCATGAGTGGGGGGGGGATGGAGGATTGGAATGGGGGGATGAGGACAAATATCAATAAAGACATTTAAAAAAATTAAATGTCTTCATCAATAAAGACATTTAAAAAAAAATCAAAAATAAAGGTCTGCCAAAACCGGTGTGGCTCAGTGGATAAAGCGTCGGCCTGTGGACTGAAAGGTCCTAGGTTCGATTCCGGTCAAGGGCATGTACCTCAGTTGCGGGCACATCCCCAGTAGGGGGTGTGCAAGAGGCAGCTGATCGATGATGCTCTCTCATCGATGTTTCTAACTCTCTCTCTTCCTCTCTGTAAAAAATCAGTAGACTATATTAATAAATAAATAACAAAGGTCTGCGTGCTTTTTAAAAAATAAAAAATAAATGAAAATATCGATAACCATTTCCTTCAGGGAGGATCAAAAACAAAAAGCAACCCACGGAGATGCCCGTCCTACCTGCAGCTCGGGGGCGGCCAGCGCCTGGTCCAGCCGCAGAAGCTCCGCCTCCCGCCAGGCGGCGTGCAGCTGCTGCAGCAGCACACGGGCCCGGGCGCGGGGCAGGGCCAGGCTCCGGTCCATCTGGGCGAAGCAGCCGTGCACGTCCTGTCGCAGCCGGAGCAGCTCCTCCTCCGACAGCGACAAGGGGGCGCCGCACAGCCTCCTGGGAGGGGGGCAGGGACGGGTGAGGCTGGTGACATCCCCCTCACACACGCACCACGTCGTCACCCACCCGTCCATCGCGGGGGGGCCCCGGGTGCTGCCCGCTCCGGCCACGTGTGACAGCACGGAGGGACCCGTGGGTGTGAGGCTCCGTGAAATACGTCGGACGGAGCGAAGCCAGTACTATAGGGTTCCACATACGTGTGGAATCGAATAAAAGAAACAAACTCACAGACACAGAGAACACACTGATGGCCGCCAGACTGGACGGGGTGGGGGACGGGTGGAAAAAGGTAAGCGAGTTAAGAAGTACAAGTGGCCGAAACCGGTGTGGCTCAGTGGATAGAGCGCCAGCCTGCGGACTGAAGGGTCCCAGGTTCGATTCCGGTCAAGGGCATGTACCTCGGTTGCGGGCACATCCCCGATGGGAAGTGTGCAGGAGCCAGCTGATCGATGTTTCTCTCTCATCGATGTTTCTAACTCTCTATCCCTCTCTGTAAAAAGTCAATAAAATATATATTTAAAAAAAAAAAAAAAGGGAAGTACAAGTGACAGGTCATACTAATAGTCACAGGGATGCAAAGCCCACCTCAAGGATCACGGCCAATAATCCCATATAATAAAAGGCTAATATGCAAATTGACTGGACAATGGAATGACCAGACGTCCCCCACCGAGGAAAGAGCAGGGGAAGGGTCCCGGCTGTGTTCCTTTGCTAACCGGACTTTCTAGGTTGGTGGTCAGTGGTTTGTTCAAAGAGGCAGCTTGAAGACATACTGGTAGGACCCCGGGCTCCAGGACAAAGGGGCTCCTCCCTCTCCCTCGTCAGACACCAGTTCTCACCCAGGGAGCAGGCGAGGTCCCTGCGCAGCCATCCGTCCTGGGTTCAGTTCCCAGCTGCCCACAGACTGACTCAGACTCAGCCATCACAGCCCCCGGGGGCACTGTGCCCTCTCGTGAGCACGGACCCGCCTGTTCAGTGCAACCCTAGGCTAGTGAGTGCTCTGGGCGTCACCGCGCCCTCCTCCCTGGGCTGGGAGTAACATGGCTTAGACATGGTGTCCATCTCGTCCGTCCACTGCCAGATGTTGTGCGCCCAGCAGCCCATCCCCCCAGGGGGAGCCCTCCCTTGCCTGTGCGGGAGGGCACTGTGGGGACGGCAGGGTCACTTGAAAGGGCAGAGCAAGGCTATAAGCAGAACTTCCCTTTTTGTTGAAGAGTGAGCCCTAGGTGCACTTAGTGGTTATCTCGATGCTGGCCTTGTGCGCCACCCTTGACCAATCAGGAGGTAGCAAGGCATAGCTGAGACCCAGGAATACGTCATTTCCTGCCCTTTGTGCCATAAGAACCTGCTGTAAGTCCCTGCTGTAAAGCCCTGGAATAAAACCCTGACCTAGAACTGACCAATCGGGGTCAGCTAACTCAGGGCCCAACCCTCCCCCTCCCCAGACTCCTATAAAGCCTTTGTCCTATTAAAGCTCGCTGGCTCTCTCCACCTCGCCGCTGCGCCGGTGGGTGTGTGTGGGACTGAGCTCGAGCTAGCTCGAATAAAGGCTCTTTGCTTTTGCATCGGACATGGCTCCCTGGTGGTCTTTGGGGATCATGAAATCTGGGCATAACACACTCACAGGAAGACCCGGCGCCCCCAGTGCCGCAGCTCCGCCTGCTCCTCCGCCGAGGCCTCCAGCGCGTCGTCCTGGAGCCGCTGCCGCACGCCCCGCACGCCCTCCTGGTCCCGGGCCCGCTCCTCGGCCTCCAGCTGCTCGGCGCGGGCGGCCAGCTCCCGGGCGTGCTCCTCCTGGATCTGCTGCAGGAAGAGCCAGGGCACGCCGCGCTTGAGCAGCTCCTGCGCCAGCGCCGAGCTCTGCAGCCGTCGCAGCTCCTCGGCGGCCTTCTCCGTCAGCGCCAGGGCCAGCGCCCGCAGCTCGTCCCCCGCCGCCTGGTCCAGCCGCTCCTGCAGCTCCTCCAGGGCCGCGCCCTGGGCCGCGGCCAGGCTCCGCCACTGGCCCAGGTACCGGCCCACGTCCTCGGCTGATCCCGCGCGGAAGGCTTCTCCCACGGACAGCTGCTCCCTCTGCTGCTCCTTGTGCTGCGGGATTCGGGGGAACGACAGGGGTTATGCTCAGCCCACAGCGCCCTGAGGGGAAGCAGAGCCCGGGAAGCCTCTGTCTCAGCAAGCTTCGTATAGAAAGCTATCCATAAGGGAGCACCCCACTCACAGGGAGACTTCCTTTGTCCCACGTGGAGCCAACCCTCAACTGTGTACCCAGGAGGCAGATGGAGTTCCGACCCTGCTTCTCCACTGACAGCAGGGGAGGGGGGGGAGAGCAGCATCTGCTCCTCACCGGACCCATTTCCTCACCTGTAAAGCGGGGATGAGAGCGTCCCCTCGCAGAGTGGTTGTGAGGGTTCAATGAGTTGCTTAACACCCATGAACTACGTCTGGGGGACCGGCATTTGCTGCACTCAAGGCCAGGAGGGATGGCAGGCAGGGGGAGGTGCCCACCAGGAGGGAGGGCAGGCAGGGGGGAAGTATCTTGTTTGAGGTGAAGCACTCAGACAGCAGGGACCCGAGAACGTGCGAGCTGGGATGTGTGGAGAGATGAGGGCAGGGCAGAGGGGGTGTGCCCAGGACTGAGGGCACAGTGTGCCAGCGATTTCTTTCATCCAAGGACAGTGGGGAATGGTGAAGGATTTTATGAACTCACTAGAGGCCTGGTGCACGAATTTGTGCACCAGGGGGTCCCTTGTCCTGGCCTGCATGATCGAGCCGACACTGGCTCTCAGACAGTATTTCAGATTGCGAGAGGGCACAGGCCAGGCAGAGGGACCCCACTGGTGCATGATTAGAACCGGGGAGGACATGGAGGGTGGCCAGCTGGGGAGGGACTACAGGAGGACTTCCGGGCCTGTCTGGCCTGTCTCACTCAGTCCAGATCAACCAGACCCCAGCAGCAAGCTTACGTACCAGTTGGAGCTTCTGCCCCCTGGTGGCCAGTGCACATTATAGCAACTGGTCGACTGTCTGCCTCCTGGTGGTTAGTGCATGGCATAGCGAGTGATTGAACAGCCTTAGCATACCATTAGCATATTACACTTTGATTGGTTGAACGGCTGACCTTACAACCGGACACATAGCGTATCAGGCTTTTATTATATAGGATGCTCGGGAACGCCTTCCCTGCAGGAAGGGTAATTCCTGCCTGTGTTACTGGAGCGTGCTGCGCATGGCGTGCAGGGGCCCATGGTGGTGAACTGCGTGTTTTCCGGCGGGAGCCCAGAACGGTTACACAGAGAGTAAGTGGCAGAATTCCTCACGTACGTACCTTTTGCAGCATCTCTCGTCTCCTCTTCACTATTAATTTCTGGTAGAGCTTTTTCTTCTCCTGCTTCAGGTCGTTGTCCAGCTTCTGTTTAATGGAGAAGACTTCCGTCTGAGCCCGCTCCATCAGCTCCTCCGTCTGCTCTTCGTCCAGGTACCCTGCTCTAGACGAAGGAGACGCGGGTTAGCGCTGCCTCCATGTTCTCACTTTGGTATGAATGAGGGTCTTTACCCTGCGGGAGGGGAGGCAGGACACGGGCGGGGAGACAGTCCTGAGACACAGGAAGGGCAAGGTCAGCGACACCGCAGACCGCGGTGGATAGCAGCACCGGGAGAGACCACCGGGAGGCAGAAACTGGGCAAGGCCCGGGAGAAAGTGGTCAGTCTGCCTGTGGGAGGCAGGAGCCAAGGAGAGGGTGGCCGGGAAGTCCTGGGGACAAGCAGGAACCAGCGAAGTCTAAGAGGTAAGCGTAGGGAACACTCGGTGAGGGGAATTCTGTGAGTCACCTTGACGGGCCACGGTACTGGTTATACTAGGACCTGGTTTCTGGGATGTCTGTGAGGCTGTTTCTGGATGAGATTACCCCCTGGCATAATTGCATAACCTCCACCACCCCTTTCCCAGTAAAAAGGGATTTTGCATTATTTATTTATTTTTCTAAGTTTTTTTTGTTTTTTTTTTTAATACACTTTATTGATTTTTTAAAGAGAGGAAGGGAGAGAGGGAAAGAGACTTAGAAACATCGATGAGAGAGAATCATCCATCAGCTGCCTCTTGCACACCTCCTACTGGGGATGTGTCCGCAGCCAAGGTACATGCCCTTGACCGGAATGGAACCTGGGACCCTTCAGTCCGCAGGCTGACACTCTATCCACCGAGCCACACCGGTCAGGGCGGGATTTGCTTTAAAATAACCCGGGGCAGAGCTGTAGAGCCCCATCAGGGTTGGCCATGAGTTGGCACCTGGTGAAGTTGAATGATGAGCATTTGGGGCTCATGGTACGGCTGCTGAACTATCTTGCATGTTTTCTTCTTCTTCTTCTTCTTCTTCTTCTTCTTTTGTTTTGTTTGTTTGTTAATCCTTGCTCGAGGATATTTTTCCCATTGATTCTTTTTTTTTTTTTAATATATTTTATTGATTTGTTACAGAGAGGTAGAGAGAGGGGATAGAGTTAGAAACATCGATGAGAGAGAATCATTGATCAGCTGCCTCTTGCACACCCCCCACTGGGGATGTGCCCGCAACCAAGGTACATGCCCTTGATCAGAATCGAACCCGGGACCTTTCAGTCCACAGGCTGATGCTCTATCCACTGAGCCAAACCAGTTTTGGCCCCATTGATTCTTAGTGAGAGTAGAAGGAAGAAAAGGGAGAGAGTGAGAGAAATAGAGGTGTGAGAGAGACACATCGATTGGTTGCCTCGTGCATGTGCTCCATGGGGGGCCAGAGATAGAACCAGCAACCCAGGTACATGCCCTGGATCAGGAATCGAACCTGAGACCCTTCCATGCAAGGGCCAACACTCTAACAACTGAGCAACACAGGCCCGGGCTATCGTGCCTGTTTTTAAGTCCTACAACGAACCGGAGTCTTACAATCAGAGAATTTCCTTAAGACGTAAGTAAGGAGCGGATAGAGCCTTCGGTGAAGGAACAGAGCAGCAGCTTCGGGCAGGGAATGTGGGGCTCGGCGGCCGGTCTGGTCCCGGGGACGCTCCGGGGTTTACCTCTCGTGCTTCTGGATGAGAAGGGTGAGCTGGGACGCGGCCGCGCTCAGCAGGCCCTGCGCCCGGGTCTCCGCCGCCTGCATGTTCTGGACCAGGTACTCCCGGTGGCCGAAGCGCTTGCTCAGGTGGCACCTCTTGCTGGCCTGGAGGAAGTCCATCAGCTCCTCCACTTCCTCCTGGGCGGGAAGAAAACCAAGGGCAGTTGCTGATTAAAAATCTAGAGGACGCTTTATAGACCCTTAAAATATCCCACTTCCTGTTAAAAAAAATAACTGCGAGCAGGAAGAGGACCACAGACCGGCCACCAGCCAGGTGACGCCACGCATCCGAACCCCTCGCGAGGAGGGGGATGGATTCCCTCCTTGTCCCTCTCACTGACCTTCTGCTGGAAATACCTAGAGCAAAGGGAGAGGCTGGTGGTTCTCCCCCAGGCCCAGTGCCTTCTGGGAGTGGCCGTGTCTTCCCAGAGGCTCAGGATGGCCACGGTCTCCTCCCAGCACCGCCCGGCGCTGTCGCAGCCTCACGCACCGGGCCTCGCCAGGGCCAGAAACCTGGTGTGCGACGGCACATGGTGAGGGCACTGTGTGTGCATGTGTGCGTATGCATGTGTGTGTGTGTGTGTGCATGTGTGCGCGTGCGCGTGTGTGTGCTTACATGTGCTTATTCATGCCGGCCTCGGGAGAAATTCCACAGCCATGTCCACGGTCTCACAAACTATCTCCACTCGCGTCAGGAGATGTATTCGGGCTGCACTGATGACACTCACACTCACGCATATGTGCAGAGACACACTCCCAGGCACACCTGGCCCAGGCCATAACCCCGCACAGCGCGTTTGTGCACACACACCCATGCTACCTCAACCACGGGGCCGGGCACCGGCTTCCCTGAGCCCGCTCACTAAGCCTCTGCCACGGCCGAGAGTGTGGGTGCTCTATTACCCCCTTTTAAGATGAGAAAACCGAGGCTCAAAGAAGCTGGACAACTTAAGTTGACACAGGCGGGGAGGGGGAGGGAGGAGGAACCGGAATTCACAATGGGGCCAGCCTGAGTGCCAGGCCTGTGCCCAGGCCCCCGCTTCCCGGAAACTCACGCAGAGGTCAGGAGCCGGGGGCCGGGCCGGGGGTCCTAGCTCCCCGTCCGCAGCAGGAAAGCAGCGCGGGCTCAGCTAGGGAGGAGCCACCCCGGCCGCTCAGGGCATGTCCCCGCGGAGGAGCCTGCCGGCCTCACCTGCGCCCGGGAGTACTCTTGCAGCAGCAGCTCGGCGGCCTCCGGCGGCAGGTCCCCTCGGAACACAGCGCCCCGGACCTGGGCGAAGAAGATGCCGTGCAGCTCGCTCCTCTGGAAGACGGCCAGCTGCCGGTGCGCCCGCGCCAGGTCCTCCTCCTGCTGCAGCGCCAGGGCGCGCCGTAGCTGCTCCTGCTCTAGGCCGTGCAGCCTGCGCAGGAGGCTGCTGCACTCGCCCGCCGACTGCAGAGAGGGGGCGGCGTGAGAGAGAGGCTGACCTGCCGGACAGGCACACACAGGCCAGCACACACACACACACACACACACACACACACACAAGCGCGAGCGCCCTTACACATGCACACACACCAGACATGCATGCACACAGTCACCTTTCGTGCACACAGCACATGCACATGTGTGCACGCAACATATTCACACACACACAGCAGACATGCACACGCACAGTCACCCACCATGCACATAGCATATGCACACACAGCAGGCATGCACACATGCAGCCACCCACCATGCATACAGGTGCATGTAGCTTATGCACACACAGCAGACAGGCACACACACATGCAGCCACCCACACATGTGCACGTAATGTATGTACACATGCGTTAGCACATGGCATATGCACACACACAACCATCCACCATGCACGCTCACATGGGCACACATGTATACACAGGGCGCACACACACCATGCCCCACACTGACAATGAGGAGCCTGCTGAGCTATAGGATGGATGGATGGATGGATGAGTGGTTGGATGGTGGATGGATGGATAGATGAATGGGTAGATAGATGGGTAGGTAGATAGATAAATGGGTGAATGAGTGGAGGGGTGGGTGGATGGATGGATGCATGAATGGATGGATAGGTGGATGGATGGATGGATGGATGGATGGATGGATGGATGGATGGATGGTTGGATGGATAGATGGATGGATGGTTGGATGCATGAATGGATGGATAGGTGAGTGGATGGATGGATGGATGGATGGTTAGATGGATGAATGGGTGGATGGGTGGGTGGGTGGGTGGGTGGATTAATGGGAGGGTACGTTGCTGGCTGGATAAACGGATAAATGATGATTCCCCAAGAGGAAGGGGAGAGGTAGAGCGGCCTTACCCTCTCGCTAACGTGCTTTAGCAGTTCTTCTGCCTCCTCCATGGCCGCCGCCTCCCTCTGGAACTGGTTTTCTGTCTTCTTTCTTGTTTCCAGGTCGCATTCAGCCGTCAGAGCCACCATCTTCCGATCATACTCCTCCTGCACTTCCTTCTCCAGCATCAGAAACTGCTTCTTAAAAGCAGCGCCCATCCTCCTCTCTGCCTGAGGGGCGAGCTGGCCCCTGCTGCTCAGCCCTCTCAGGAGAAGGGCAATGACATCCCTGCTGATGTGGGTTCGACAGGCCTCCAGATCGGAGTCGGCCCGATTCAGGGTTGCAATCTCCAACCTGGGGACACAAAGGCCGGAGAATCCCGTTACATAACGCTGCCAGCAACCAGAGGCCCCTGGCCGGGAAAGCTCTGCGGGTTCCAGTTATTTGTAGGCCAGGCCTTCCTCTTCCCCTCCTCCTCCTCTCCCCCCTCCCTTCTGCCCATCCAGTGACTGAACCCCAGTGATGGAATAGCAGATTCTTTAAAATATTTATCTTTATTGATTTCACAGAGGAAGGGAGAGGGAGAGAGAGATAGAAACATCAATGTACCTTCTTCCCTCACTTGATCTCTGAAATCAATACAAACTTATTTTAAAATAATAATACCACTGCTCGGGGGAGCACTCCCATGAGCCTCTCAGAGGTAACCAGCTGGCCCTGACCTTCCCTGTAGCGCGGTACTCATCACACTCTGATGGGCACTACGTCAGCCCGTCTCACACACACACACGATGTCTATTCACTTCGCCTCCCAAGCACCAAGCACGGTGTTCAGTGCATGGAGATGCTCGGTGACTCCTGAGTAATGAGTGACTGCATGAATTCAAGAATGAATGAAACATGCCCAGCGTTCGCTCTCATGCCACTCCAGTTAAGCTGCTCACCACCGCTAAGAAAGCATCACGGGATTAGAATCTTACTCTTCCAAAGCTTGCAGCATGCTCCCGGGGTCTTCTGAGGACAGGATGCCAACCATCTGGTCATTCAGAGCAAGATCTTCATTCACACCGTCAGCCGCCGTGAACTGGGAGTGCTCCAGCCTGCTGTCCTGATGCTGAGCCTTTGGGAGAATTGCAGAAACAATGGAGTAGGCCTGGTCGCAAATGTCATGTGTGGAAAAGTCAGGAGGGAAGGTGGGGACCTGCAGTCAGAGAACCTGGCTGGCCGCACCACTGTGAGCAGGGTAAACTCAGGCAAGACACTGTACTTCCCTGAGTCTCTATTTTCTCATCAAAGACATGGGATCACAATTTTATCCACAGGGTTACGTGAATAAAACAGAGCAACGAATGAATAGGCCATTGCAACCAGTCATGATCTATACAAATACTTCACCATCATCACCATCAACTGTGCTGGCGAAAATAAAGGAAAATGTGGAAAGATTCCATTCTGTGATGCAGGAAAGAAATACTGTAAGTGTTTTCAACCTTAAATCAAATCCACACTTTGCTTTCCTCTCTGCCGTTGTAATGATCAGCCTTTGATCTTCAGGAAATGAATCCTGCTCCTACATCAGAGTGAGGGATGAGTTTCGTTCTTCTGTGACTGATCACAGCTCCAGGGTAAGCAGGTGCCCGATTAGGGGGCCGTTTTCCTCCTCACTCCGGCCTGCCAAGGACACTGGGGCTGGCCTCACACTGAAATGACTGTTCTCTCCTCTGAGGAAGCAGAAGCAAAATGAACCAGGGGAACCCTCCAGAGAGGGGGACCCCCAGAAGCCAGGAGCCAGCCTACATCTGGCCACTTAAAGCAAGAGTTTTACTTCACGGGCCTCAGTTTCCCCAACTTAAGGAGGGAGAAAGATGACAGATGTTTGTCCAAGTTGTTGGGCCTCTGGGTAATAGCAGCTCCAGCCCTTCATGGCCTGAAGGAGTGCTGACTCCCAGCAATGCCACCTGGCTGAGCAGATGAGCAGTGCCTCAGAGCTCATCTCACTCAGTGAACTGCTGTCCTGCTTTCCCCAATACCACCACCACCAGCAGCAGCATCACCATCATCACCATCATCATCCCCATCACCATCATCACCATCACCATCACAACCATCGTCATCATCACCATCATCATCAATATCATAATCACCACCATCATCATCACCATCCTCACCTTCACTACCATCATCACCAACATCATAATCACTATCACCATCACCACCATCACCATCACTCCCATCATCATCACCATCATCACCATCACTACCATCAAATCAACACCTTCATCATCATCACCATCATCACCACCATCACAATCACTATCACCATCACCACCATCACCATCATCGTGTAAAGGAATATTATAGTTGGCAGGTGACTTCAACATCAAGAGTCTGGCAGGTTTCTGACCAGAACACAGAATTGCAAGATGAAGTGACTGATTGCCTGAGGCCTTCTTCATTCCTTCACACATGTATTGAGTGCCTTCTAGGCACCAGGCTCTGCAGTGGGCAATGGGGATGTAGCAGACATCATCTGTTTTCTGCCCATATCCCCTCACCCTTGCCACTTTTGTGCCCACCAGCCAAGAGCCAACAGCATCAGAGCCCGTGCCTGGGAAATGTCTCCCTTCATCTTGCCCCTCACCTCGGCCTCAACCAATAGCCATTGGGCCTTGGTGGGTAAATACGCCAGCTCCTTCCCTGAGGTTCATTCCTCTGTCCCCAGGGTGCCTGAGTGCAATACAGCCTCAGCTGCCCACAGGGGAACTGGACTGCCTGCCTTCCCTCCTGCCTCACTCGCCCAGCCCTCACCATCATTTCCTGGGGTGCCTTCCCATAGTAACTTCCTGCATTTGGAGGCTGGTCTCAGCAAGTGCATCTGGGGGAGCCCAGGCCAAGACAGGAATATGGAGACTGAGGGCTTCACAGAGGGGTCCGAGAGAGGAGGGAAGTGCTGCGTGGGAGCCACAGAGCCTGGTGTGGAAACCCAGAGAGAAGCCCCTCACGGAGCCGGGAAGTGGCCAGTGCTGACGTCCAGGACAGACAAGGCCCGAGCTGAAAGGGCAGGTCAAAACCATGCTCACTGAAGAGCAGAGACTGAAGAAGCTTCTGACGTGAGCGTGGAGAGCTCGCGCTCCCGGAGAATGCCAAGTCCGTGGGTGGAGGGTGAGGCGGAAAGTGGCAGAAGCCGTGGGCAGAGGCGGGGCCAGGGCTTCCCCGAGGATGAAGTGAAGCTGCAGCGGCTTTTCAGCGGGAGTGTGGGCAGAACCCGAGTGAGGGGGCCCAGGCGGTGGAGGAGACTTCGGGGCTGGCCACACAGGTGGGCCAGCAGTGACTCAGCGAGGCCGCAGGGGTCCTCCACACCGGCCCTCACTCCCATCATCCAGGGAGCTTTTATAAATGAGCAACGGCTCTAACCGGTTTGGCTCAGTGGATAGAGTATCAGCCTGCGGACTGAAAGGTCCCAGGTTTGATTCCGGTCAAGGGCATGTACCTTGGTTGTGGGCACATCTCCAGTAGGGGGCATGCAGGAGGCAGATGATGGTTGTTTCTCTCTCATCAATATTTCTAACTCTCCCTCTCCCTTCCTCTCTCGTAAAAAGTCAATAAAATATGTTAAAAAAAAAAAAAAAAGAAGAAAGAAAGAAAGAAAGAAAGAAAGAAAGAAAGAAAGGAAGGAAGGAAGGAAGGAAGGAAGGAAGGAAGGAAGGAAGGAAGGAAGGAAGGAGCAACGATGGGGACACATCAGGGACAATCCAATGTCCTGGACGTGAGCGTTTGTCCGAAGGTCCCCGGGGGATTGTGATGTCCACCCAGGATTGAGACCCACTGAACTGGAGGATAAACTTCAACTTCACAACCGTCACCAAGCAAACGACCCCCCGGGAAGAAGTTGCGCCTGGAGACTCACCTGATGCCTGGTGAACATGCTTCTCTTCAAACACGGATGCCGAACCACGAAGAAAAGAGTGACCCAGGTCAGCGCAAGGGAGACGAGGAAGGCCACGAAGAACCCGGCGGCGTGAAGGCCATGGTTTGGGAGAACCTACGGGGACAAGAGCGTGACGGACTCACCGGCGGCCGAACTTCACGTCTCTCGGGTTGAGCTACAACTTCCTTAGAGCTGAACAAGGATGGACCCCGCGTGCCACCTATGAGGGGTTCCCGTAAGAGAAGTCTATTTTATCTGTTTTCCTCTCTGTCGCCTGTGCTGTTGGTGTCACAGTCAAGAAATCATTGCCACCCCAATGCCAGGAAGCTTTCCCTCTATGTTTTCTCCTAAGAGTTTCATAGTTTAAGATCTTACATTTGTCTCTGATCATCTTGAGCTAATTCTGGAAGCTGCTGTAAGGTACAGGCTCAACTCCATTCTTGAGCGCCCCCGTATCCCCATCATCAGTTGTTGCAATGGCTGCCCTTGCCCATGCCATGGTCTTGTCACGCTCGTTGGAAATCATTTGACTGTATGAGGTTTTATCCTGAGCTTTTTCTTCTGTTCCACTGGTCCAGGTCTCTTTTGCCAATACCACAGTTCTGAGGACTGTAGCTTTGTGGGACGTTTCGAAGTCAGGAAGTGTATGACTCCCAGTTTTGTTCTTTTTAGGTTATTTTGGCAATTCCAAGTTCCTCGAGAGTCCATGTGAATCTTAGGATGGGTTCTCCTATTTCTACACGAAGATGCATTGGCATTTTGACAGAAACTGCATTGTCTGTGGAGCAGAACAACTCGGGGTCTTCCGGGCCTCCTGCAAGGATGGCTGTGCCCCTCTCTTTCCCTCAGCGGCACTCTGTGGTGCTCAGTGCACAATCTGTCTCCTCACGGTTACGTGTCTCCCCCCCAGCGCCCAGTTCTCTTCGATGCTAGATTATGTTTTCACAATTTCTTTTGTGGATTGTTGATTGTAAGTGGAGAGAAATGCAGCTGACTTTTGTGTGCTGAATTTTTAATAGTGTAATGCTGATATCCCAATGTAACATTTTTTAAAGAAGATACACAACTATATACACAGAATGATCCCAATTTCATTAAAGTAAAAATAATATCCATGCACGCAGACACGTATGTAACCTATGAAGAAACCCCCTGGGACTGTGTTGAGTATGAGGACTTGATGAGTCTCCTCTCTAGGATTCTGTGATTTTTGCTTTAAAAAAAAAAAATAAATAAATATATATATATATATATATATATATATATATATATATATATATAAAGAGAGAGAGTTTCATACAGAAATATATATATATATATTTCTTTAAAAAAAAATATATATATATATATATATGGGAGGGATCCTAATCCAATGACCGTGTCCTCATAAGGACAGGGCGGCATGGAGGCAGATAGACACACACACATACACAGAAGGCCACGTGACCACGGAGGCAGCCATGGGAGTGATGCAGCTACAAGCCAGAGGAGGACTCCCCGATTCTCCTCCGAAGCCTCAGAAGGGAACATGGCCCTGCCCACATCTTGATTCCAAGACTTCTGGCCTCCAGACCTGGGGAGCAGAGTGTTTCCGCTGTTCTAAGCTCCCCAGTTTGAAACACTTACTTATGGCCGCCCCGGGAAACTGAGGAAGTGTGTTATGGCTTCGCATCCTTCAGTCATCAGTGAACCCCCCACTCCGGAGTCCGGCTCCTCCCCCCTCATCACACTACCTGCGGTCCTGGGGCCTGTGGGGTTTTCCTAAAATATTGCTGGCTCCAGGCTCCCACAGCATGGTCAGCTACTGGCCTGACGGACGGGAACCAGACATCAGTCTGGGGCAGAGACTGGGACAGAGTGACAGGCAGGACCAGACCCCCATTCCCCTCTCCCCGCCACACCTACTTGATGACCTAGAACAGGTCAACTGAGCCAGGCCACCCTGCTTTTCTCCCTCTCCCTCCTCCACCACCTCAGTCTCCACCTTAAGATCCTGCTCTACTTTGGCCAAGAGAATCTGAAGCTCAGAGTAGTGCGGTGGGCATTGGAGCGGTGTTGTGTGTGGAGGGTCGGGGACAGTGTGGAGGGCCGGGGAGCAGTGTGGAGGGCCGGGGAGCAGTGTGGAGGGCCGGGGAGCAGGACCTTGCTTATTGAGCAGTGCAGCTGCAGGAATGAACTCCTGGACCTAGAAGAGGGCAGTGCCAGGCAGGCTCTGCAGACCCACCCTCACTCTCCCTGCCTCGCCTCCGATTCCTACCTTCTGACACCACGAGATAAGCAAGTGCAGGTGGAGGCTGCTTCCTGGGGCAGGTCCTCTCACAACCCTTCTGTCTCCTCACCCATCTTCATTTATCAGTATTGCTTAATGAAGCTAGGTCTGCTCCCTGGACTTCCCTCTGCCATGAAGATGGCTAGAGAGCAGTCAGATCTCAAGACATACCTTTATCATCATCAATATCAGTGTCATCTCCACCATCATCATCACCATCATCACTGACACTATCGCCATCGGAATCCTTGCCACCATCCTCCTTCTCACCATCACGTCATTACCACTGTCATCTCCATCACCATCATTACCACCATCACCACCACCACCACCATCATCATCATCACTATCAGCAGCAACATCACCACCATCACCATCACCACCACCACCAACAACCATCACCACCACCACCAACAACCATCACCACCACCACCAACAACCATCACCACCACCGTCATCATCATCACTATCAGCAGCAGCATCACCTCCATCACCCTCAGTGCCCTCTGCCCCGTGGCGACCATGTGTGAGCATGCCAGCTACAGCACCAGAGATGTTCGAAGAGCTTCATGCGCATTAACCCATGTACTTCCCCCAAGAGCTCCCTACAGTGGGCGCTGTGTTGGTCTCTATCTTACAGATTGTAACGCCAGCAGCAGCCGGTTATATCCAGGCCCCGGGGCGCAAACCTGGCGGTCTGGCTGTAGCATTAGAGCCACAGCCGCCTCTGGGGCTCCGGCCTCAGCAGCCCTTCCCCCGGAGCCCTGCCCCGGTCCTCAGGGGCTGTGTCCTGCGACCCCACACTGCGCCCAGCCCCAGCCTGCCGTGGGCACGGCCGGCCCCTCCCAGGCTGAGAACGGGACGGCGCCCCGTGGGCAGAAACACACGTGGGGCAGCCGGGGCGCCCGGGCTGGAATTCCTTACCGTCACCGTGTCCTCTGCCGTTATGGTGAGGAGGGCTTTCAGCTGTGTCCTGTTCTAGAAAACAAACAAACAAGGAACGTGCTGGTCGGCGGGCTCTGGAGTCTGACGCGTGGGGTAAGGTTTGGAATACTTCCCACCCGCTGTGCCTGAGCCCGAAGGGGCCCGTGACTGCTGGGTGTCAGAGCGTGCAGGGGTCTTACAGTCCGTTGGGGGGAAGGTGGGAGGGAGGAAGGGGAGGGGAGGGAAGGGAGGGAGGGGGGAGGAGGAACAGAGGAGGGGGACAGATCGTGTGCCCTGCGTGTGGGGTTGTAACCCTCCTCCCGGCGGGGAGCGGGCAGGGGCAGAGTGGTGCAGCCACGCACCGTGGACGCCGTGGAGCCGCTCCGGAAGGCGAGCAGGGCCGGCAGCAGCAGGACCTCTCCGCGCCCACGGGCCCCGGGCTCCAGCGAGGCCGTGTAGCTGACTGAGAAGGCGTCTCCGACTGCTCGAGAGGAGGCACGGGGGGTCACGACAGGGGCCTCTGCCACGAAGCCACGCCCGCCTCACCCCAGACCCCTCTTCCCGTCACCCCCCAGACACCCATGTCTCACCACCACCAGACAGCCACGCCCAACACCCCCAAACACCATGTCCCGCCACCCCCCAGACACCCACTGCTCACAACCACCAGACAGCCACACCCAACATCTGACAGCCACGCCCAACACCCCCACACAGCCACGCCCAACACCCCAGACAGCCACACCCAACACCCCAACAGCCACACCCATCACCCCACAGACAGCCCAACCAACACCCCCAGACAGCCACGTCTCACACCACCAGACAGCCATGTCTCACCACCACCAGACAGCCACACCCAACATCTGACAGCCACACCCGACACCCCCACACAGCCACGCCCAACACCCCCACACAGCCACGTCTCACCACCACCAGACAGCCACACCCAACACCCCAACAGCCACACCCATCACCCCACAGACAGCCCAACCAACACCCCCACACAGCCACGCCCAACACCCCCAGACAGCCACGTCTCACCACCACCAGACAGCCATGTCTCACCACCACCAGACAGCCATGCCCAACACCCCAAAACACCATGTCCTGCTACCCCCCAGACACCCACTGCTCACAACCACCACACAGCCACGCCCAACACCTCCAGACAGCCACATCTCACCACCACCAGACAGCCACACCCAACACCCCAACAGCCACACCCATCACCCCACAGACAGCCCAACCAACACCCCCAGACAGCCACACCCAACACCCCCAGACAGCCACATCTTCAAGAGGAAGTGGCCACGAAGGCCCACGTGGGCAGCAGGGGAGCCTGTGAGATCCCCTACCTATTAGCGGGGAGAGCATGCCCACCTTGGGGCCCTGGCTTTTCCCTTGGGAGGGGCTGTGGGCAGGTGCCAGGGCAGGAGCCCCTCTCTGCTCCTGTGATGTCATGCCTGCCCCCCCACCCCCAGCACTGCCTGGGGCGGGTCTGTCTCCCAGGCAGGATGTGTTCAGCTCCCTCTCGCAGGAAATCTGGAACCGTTCTGTTTGGTTCAGAATCCAGGCAGGACGTGTCATCCCAGCATCCCCCCCAGCGAAGGGAGGGCCTATGCAGGGCTCTGGGCCCCGGTGAGAGGGTACCCACTGCCACGCGGACTCCACCAGGCGGCACCAGGCCTGGCCGGGAGGGGCAGTGCAGGTCGCCTGGGCCTCAGCGGGCCGGGCGGCCTTACTATGCACGTCCTCCGCCTGGCTCCCCGAGTGACGCCCTCCAGCCTGGCTCCCTGTGTGATGGGCTACGGCAGGCTGACATGGGGCCACCTCTGTGCTCCGCCCTCTCCAGCACCCGACACGGCTCCGCTCACTGCGTTGTGGTGATGTGGTGATGGATGTCCTGGGATTCACTGTGACTCCATCTTTGCTCATGTTCAAAATTTCTTATAAGAATGGAATATATGGCCCAAACCAGTTTGGCTCAGTGGATAGAGCATCGGCCTGCAGACTGAAAGGTCCCAGGTTCGATTCCAGTCAAGGGCATGTACCTTGGTTGCGGGCACATCCCCAGTAGGGAGTGTGCAAGAGGCAGCTGATTGATGCTTCTAGCTCTCTATCCCTCTCTTCCTCTCTGTAAAAAAAATCAATAAAATATATATATTTCTAAAAAGGATGGAATATCTGTCATTTTTTAAAGACTTTCCCCAAATGCTCTCTCTCTGTAAGCTAAGTAACAGCCTGTGAGATGCAGATATTGGAAGGCAATCCCCTCCTCTGACAACCCATCCGCCGGGAGGATGAACTGGGAGAACACGTGTGCGGGGTCTGAGAACACGCCTGCGGGCGACCCCTGCCCCGTGAGCCTGCCGCGCCCTGGTGCCGGCCCCGCTGCCGTCACCTTGCAGAAGCGGCCACCGGAAGGCCTGCAGCCCCGCCGCGGTCCTGTTCCCCGCCGGCTCCCGGACGGCCAGGCCGGTGATGTTGTCCAGCAGAAGTAGGTCCCACAGGTCAGCGGCCCCCGGTGCAGGGGTGTTGTTCACCAGCAGGCGCACCTGGGCTGTGGGCGCCACGCTCGGCCCCGACACCTGCGGGGAATGAGGGAGGGCGGACTCAGCAACCAGGCCCGCTGCCTCAGACGGTGCTCCGGTTCGACGTGTGCGCGTGAGGCCCGGCAGAGGTCCGTGCACGCACCCACATGTGTATACACACGTGCAGGGGCACACGCATGGGCACACACACTCATCCTTGCATGCACATGGCACGAAAGGTCTCTAGGACAGAGGGCACGAGGGTGTCACAAAGGTGCTGAGAATTCCCCAGGCTGACCTGGAGGCCCAGGAGGGGTCTGGCATAGCCACGCTGTGGCCTGCGGACCCTGGGATACGGTGAAACCGAGAGGAAGCCCCCGGCACAGAGCCCAAGTCAGGCGGGGAGCGCGACACTGGTGCCACCGAGAGAAGCAAGCGTGGCCGGTCTCACTCCCCGACGCGGGAGAGGTGGTCCCAGAGCCCGCAGGGGCCTCTGCCTGGCATAGGTCTCCCCGTCGCCCGAGCCGGCTCCTGCCTGCCGGTTGTGCCCTCCGGGTACTGCCTGGCACGCCTAGCTCGGCTGTTGCAGGCTGCCCAGTGCCCAGCAGCAGGGCTCCCCACCTGGGCTCTGCAAGTGCACCCTGCTCCCCTCTGACTCACCTGCCACCCTCCCTCCCCCTCCTCCGCCCGGCCTGTCCCCAGGAGAGTGACTCGGGGCCATCAGTGCAGAAAGCAGGTTGGAGACTGTGTGTGCCGGGCACGCCCCTGTGGAAGGGGAAGAGGAAGGTGTGTGTCCAGATACATGCGTGCGAGCGCACGCGCACACACACACACACACACTTAAGAGGCATGCACGTGGAGAAAAGGCATGCATGTTCTGGAGAACATGGAGGAACGGGAGCACTCATTGGAGGGGGCGGGGAGCAGGACTCCGAGGGCCTGGGAGAGGATGAGGGCTATGCCTGATGGCTCGCTCAGACGGCTCAGGCTGCCCTTCCCCCCCCCCCCCAACCCAAGGGCAGGCTGACCCTGGACCAGCGCCTGCGGGACTGACCTCTAGTGCCCTCGAACACCTGGTAAGGGAGTCACACACAGGGAGTGCGTGCGTGAGGATTCCTGGTGAGGCCACGGGCCACCTGTGTCATGATGACCTCTGTCTGGGGAGGCGGAGGCTCAGTCGCTGACCCACCCCCTAAAAACCCGGGACGCCAAGGCTCAGGTGAGCGTCCCTGGCGGAGGTCACACTTCACGGGAAAGTTAAACGCTGTCCCACGTGTTCCCTTCGCTGACTCTACTCCACCTCCCTTCGCTGTAATGGACTCCGTGCGCACGCCCGCTTTGCCGAGTTCTGGGAGGCCTTCTGTCTGTTTTGCTTTGTTAATCCTCACTCGAAGGTATTTTCCCAGGGGCTTTTAGAGAGTGTAAGGAACGGGGAGAGACAGAGAGAGGAACCTAGAGGTGAGAGAGACACATCAACTGGCTGCCTCCCGCACATGCCCTGATCAGGGCTGGGGATTCAGCCTTCAACCGAGGCCCATGCCCTTGCATGGGGAGGACCCTGCAGTCCGGGAGCTGGTGGTCTAACCACTGGGATAACTGGCTAGGATGGTGCTGCCTTCTACCGAACCACTGAGCCCCCTCCAACCCAAGGACAATGCGAAAGCCATCTGGTAGGATGAAAGACCTAGAAGATGGTAAAAAAAAAAAAAAACTCTTCCAACTGTCAGGCACCACGGCCCTATGAAAACCTACTCAAAGAGATCCCAGCGGATTTTCGCGAACACTAATGTCATCATGACACAGCGGGGTGAAATAGCACGTAAATCCCGTTGGCCGGCTCGTCACTCACGTGCCCAGACCCTGCGACCTTCCTGTTCTTAAAGGCATCACCTCGCTCGTGGTCGGCAAACTCCTCAGTCCACAGAGCCAAATATCAACAATTGAGATTTCTTTGGAGAGAAAACTTTTTTAAACTTAAACTTCTTCTAACACCACTTCTTCAACATAGACTCGCCCAGGCCGTGGTATTTTGCGGAAGAGCCACACTCAAGGGGCCAAAGAGCCATATGTGGCTCGAGAGCCACAGTTTGCCGACCACGAATGTGGCCAAAACCCAATCATCTCCCCTCCACACGTGAGCCCCGCCTCCCCAGCTCTTACCATTGCACATTTCTGAAAAATCACTCCGTCCTCAGAACTTCCTTGAGTGTCCCTTGAAATGTGTCCGTGCTACAAGAAAACACAGAAATTATTACGGAACAAACACCACGTCACGCCGCACGCACTTAGGGAAAGTGTGAGGTGCGCTTTGCGGGGGTAAAGCGTGACTCTCCTCGCCCAGCCACTGCCTTCTGCTGCCTTGGAGATGCTGTTTGAGGAGCAGCACAGGATTGGACCCCAAACCCACGAGGAAGGAACTATGCGGGCTTTGCCGAAACCAGTTTGGCTCAGTGGTAGAGTGTGGATCTGCGGACTGAAAGGTCCCGGGTTCGATTCCAGTTAGGGGCATGTGCCTTGGTTGCGGACACATCCCCGGTAGGGGGTGTGCAAGAGGCAGCTGGTCAATGTTTCTCTCTCATCGACGTTTCTAGCTCTCTATCTCTCTCCCTTCCTCTCTGTAAAAAATCAATAAAAATATATTAAAAAATAAATAATAAATAAAAAAAAGACTGCGGGCTTTGTCCGGTCTGGGGTGCCCGACAGCCGCTGCCACAGAGATGCCACAAACCAGGGCTGGCCTGTCAGCCGGAGGCATTCATGCCTGCTCACGCCTCCTGCTGTGACGGGGCACGCCAGCCCACACAGGGTGACGGAGTGGACATGGGCCGCCGTGCACAGGGCGCCTCCCGTCAGCGGGTCCATCACCCACGCAGGGAGGCGCCCGGGTCTGGCCCCTCCAGCCCTGCCATGGCTCTCCTGGCAGATTCCAGTGGCGGGCCCAGGCTCGCCCACCAGACGCCAGCCCCGCCACCCCACATCCTCACAATGTGCTCACTCTGCCCTTGCCACATGCCCCCTGACCCCTGACCCGGGGCCTGGCCCCCATGGTAAGGACACGCCCTTTACCCGCAGGTTCTGAACCACAGACTGGGCAGCTCTCGTGACGTCAGTAACTATAACAATGGCTGTTATTTCCCTAGTGCGAGGTGTATGCCCAGCACTCTATATACCCAAAATCTTTTTATTTAAAATATGTTTTTATTGATGTCAGAGAGAGGAAGGGAGAGGGAGAGAGAGAAACATCAATGATGAGAGAGAAGCATTACTCAGCTGCCTCCTGCACACCCCTCACTGGGGATTGAGCCTGCAACCCGGGCATGGGCCCTGACCGGGAATCAAACCCGTGACCTCCTGGTTCATAGGTCGATGCTCAACCCACTGAGCAACACGAGTCAGGCCATCCCCAAATTCTGTTTCTCCCATTTTAGAGATGAGGAGTCAAAGGCTCATGCAGGCCAGCTCACCTGCCCAAGGTCGCCCAGGCAGGAAGCTGGGACTCTACCCCAGCCTGTGTGACTCCACACCCTACGGTCTTTCCACAAAGCACACCCCGACTCCAGAGCGCCGCCCTCCTGCTGTGCGGGGGCACGAAGACGCACAGCGGAGGAGCCAGGTTCCAAGGACACCTGCAGGCACAGCAACCTTTGCCGCCCAGGCCCCTGCCCCAACCCTCCATTCCGGCTCTGTGACCTGCCGGCATCCCACCTCAGGCAGGGACCCCACCTCACGCAGGGACCTGGCTGGAGAGTCCTCTGATGCTCACACAGCATCCTGTAGACAACCAGCGAAGAAACACAGGTTGGCCTGGCCGGTGTGACTCGGTGGTTGAGCATCAACCTATGAACCAGGTAATGATTTGATTCCCAGTCAGAGTACATGGCTGGTTTGTGGGCTTGATCCCCGGTAGGGAGCATGCAAAAGGCAGCCGATCCATGATTGGCTCTCATCATTGACGTTTCTATCTTCCTCTCCCTTCTCTGAAATTGATAAAAATCTATGTATATAAAAGGCTAAGCAAGCAGTCAACCAGCCAGCTGGCCAGTAGGATACACGCACTGACCACCAGGGGGCAGACACTCATCGCAGTAATTGCCAAGCAACAGCAACTTTGCAGAGTGCCCTCTCCCACTCGGGACCCCTCGGGGGATGTTGGACTGCCCATTTCAGCCCGATCCCCATAGGCCAGGCCAAGGGACCCCACCTGCCTGAGGGACCCCACTCACTCTGTAGATGCCCTTTGAGCCCCGGTGCCACCCCAGGTGTGGCTGGCCAGGGAGGGACTCTGAGTAGGATGGAGGCCAGGGTGTGTCCGGCCTTCCTAGTTAGGCCCACCATGATGACCAGCTTCTTTTATGTTTTAAAAAATATATTTTATTGATTTTTTTATAGAGAGGAAGGGAGAGGGATAGAGAGCTAGAAACATCGATGACAGAGAAACATCGACCAGCTGCCTCCTGCACACCCCCTACTAGGGATGTGCCCACAACCAAGGTACATGCCCTTGACCGGAATCGAACCCGGGTCCTTCCAGTCCACAGGCTGATGCTCTATCCACTGAGCCAAACTGGTTTCAGCCTAATTAATTTCCTTTCAATGTGCATGAATCCGTGCACCAGGGAAATAGTCTATAATGATAAAAGCATAATATGCAAGTCGACAGAATGGCTGAACAGCAGAATGACCATAGGGCCAACCTTCCAGATGAAGCCATGGCTGCGAGGACCTACTCTTGCATGAATTTCGTGCATCAGGCCTCTAGTCTATAATAATAAAAGGGCAATGTGCTAATTAGACTGGATGTCATTGAGGATGAAGCTGGCCCCGGAGGGCAGGGGGACCTCAGGGCAGGGATAGCACCTGAACCCCCATTCCTAGGAACAGAGGCCTGGGTTTGCCATGACCTCTGAGTGTACCGGTGTAAACAGGAGAGGGGAGTGGGCAGAGGTATTCACCTGGACAGACCACCTAGAGATCTGGGGGAGATGGAGGGGAGAGAGCACAAATCTGGGGTCCTGGGGAGACGCAGAGAAAAGTCCCGAAGGCCAGTGGGGAAGGGGTGGGGACCAAACCAGGGCAGACCCGCCTGCAGGAGGGGCAGACATCCCAGCTGATCAGGAGAAAAAGGCAGCGGGACTGGTGACCATTTGGGGGTGCAGGGGTGCCATCTAGGGTGACAGCCAGGGCTTGGTGCCTTCCCCAGTTTGGGGACCGCAGAGGGAGGAGCGGGTGCAGAGGGAAGTGGCTACATCCATCAGCCAGGAGAGCGCGGCCAGGCACGACTCCAGGTGGGGACCCCCAGGGATCCCCTGAGCCGCTCTGCGCGTGAACTCCCCAAACCCTCCCATCGCCCCTGCGGCCTCCCTGTCTGCTCAGTCCCCGGTCCGCGGAGCCCACCGCCGGCTCAGAGCCCAGAAGGGGAGCACCTCACCTGCGCCGCGCGCTCGGGGCCCGCCCCGGGGGCTGCGCGGCGATCCGGGGGCGCCCCCGCGCCCATGGGATGCTGGAGGGGCCCCGGGCCCCCGGGAAGCCGGCCTCGGACCCCGGGCACAGCGCGCAGCGCCAGGGCGGCGGCCAGGAGGCCCCCAGCCAGCACCCAAGCGGCGCGCCCCGGGGAGGCCGCCCGGCCCATCGCCGTCCCGGTTCCGCGGCTCCGAAGTGGCGGGGCGGCGGGTTTTCGGCGCTTCCGGCCCCGGGCCCGCCCCGCCGCCGAGCATGCCCAGTGCGCCCGGGCCCCCGGGAAGCTGCCTGGAAGCCGGCGGGGCGGCGGGGCTGGAGGCGGGAGCGGGAGGCGGTCCCGGCCCGGGACGGGGCGGAGGGAGCGGGCCAGGCTGGCGCGCCGGCGCCGGGGCCACACTTGGCTGAGCGCACGTCCACTCGGGGGCTCGGCACTGCCCACAGCAGACCCGGAGACACCCCTCCCCCTTCCCCCAAGATTCCCCCAAGATTCCAGGGGCTCCGAGTGCCCCCCACTAAGGCCCACATTGCTCTCCGAGTCATGGCTGAGACCACCTTCTCCGGAAAGCCACACCTGGCTGGAACCAGGTTCTGCCCAGCCACCGGCTTGCTCCAGTCCCCTCCCCCCGCCCCCCAGAAGCTTTTGGACAGGCGATGCCCTGTGTCCTGGGAGCCCAGAGGGGGCGGGACAGCTGCAGAAAGAGCGCTACTCCCAGCCCCCAGGCGACACCAGAGGCTGGTGGGCATGCCTTTCCTGGGCACTTCCAGCAGACCAGCTCCCCACAGCACCGGCCAGCAGGGAACCAGACAGGGTCAGGCACGGAGCACCGCCCGCCCCCGCGGGGAGAGAAACGGCCAGATGTGTTCAGCTTGCTCTTCCTGGCAGCAAACATCTGCTGAGCAGCTGCTACGTGCCAGCTCCTGCCCTGGGGCTGGGGCACAGCAGTGAACACACTGTCTTAGAGGAAAGAAAAGGCATTGGGACTCAAATCTTTTTTAAAAATATATATTTTATTGATTCTTTACAGAGAGGAAGAGAGCTAGCTAGAAACATCAATCAGCTGCCTCTTGCACACCCCCTACTGGGGATGTGTCCACGACCAAGGCACGTGCCCTTGACTGGAATCGAACCGGGACCCTTCAGTCTGCAATCTGACGCTCTATCCACTGAGCCAAACCGGTTTCCGCTGGGATCCAAATCTTAAGAACAAGTTCAGGGGCAGGGGTGGCCTGTGCCCCCCAAGGGTGGCCAGGGGGTAGAGGTGGAGGTGGAGGCTGGAGTCGGACCTGCCCTGCGTCACATGGCTCTCACTCTGCGCTTCCTCACCCGGAGGATGCGGGGGCAATAGTGCCCATCCCACCCACCCCGAGGGGTGCCCAGAAAGTTCCTGAGATGCTCAGACAGAACGCTGGGCGAATTGAAAACGCCCAATAAATTTCTCCAAGCTGCACCCTCCTCCGCCGCCAACGGGCACCCCTCTGCGCCGAAATCCGGAGGCCCGGGGTAAACCCAGGACCTCCCCAAAGTTCTCCAAGAGCAAAACAGCTCCTCCGGGCATGCTCAGTGCAGAGGCAGCGCGGGGCGGGGGCGGCTCAAAGTTTTGGGCGGAAGATCCAGGCTCCTCCCTCCGGCTCCGGCGGCGCCGGGACCGGGAAAGAAGACCCGAAGGAGACTCGGCCGGGGAGTCGGGAGAGCGCGCTGAGCCCCCGGCCGCCTCGCCTCCGGGCTCCGGGCTCCGAGTCCGGCGTCGCCGACCTGGCGCTGACGGTGCCCCGGGCGGCGGGCCGGAGCGGTGCCCGCCGGCCGGCGGGATGCGGCCGGGCCGCGGCCTGAGCGCCCCCGATGGCCGGCGGCGGCGCGGACTGCGCCAGGGACGCGCGGCTGCTGCGGGGCCGGGACGCGGTGCGGCCGGAGCCCGCGCTGCTGGCGCCCGCCGTGCTGCTGGGCGCCGCGCTCGGCCTGGGCCTCGGCCTCTGGCTGGGCTGCCGCGCGCGCTCGCGGCCCCGGCACCAGGTGGGTGGGCCGCGCCGGCAGCCGGAGTGGGGGGCGCCCGGGGCGCGGTCTCCCCGGGCCCCTGGGCTGCCAGCCTGGGCTCTGATCCCGCTGGAGTGTGATCTCGGGTTTGTGAGCAACTGGTCCTGGCTCCGGGCTCCCCTTAGGGTCCGGGAGGATGCTGGAGGCGGTGCCTGCCATGGGATGTAAACAACCGCTCAGGTCCTCCCGCCTGGACCGCATCTGTAGCTCCAGGGGGTTGGACAGAGCTGGCAGGGGCCCAGCCCAGCGTAGTGGATCTGAGGGCTGGGAATCCCCATCCCTAGATGTCCGTTCCGCTTCCTTGCTCTGTGCTTACCAGTGAGCCCCTCCCGAGAGCCCGCTGCCGCCTGGGGCTGCACTCAGGCTTGCATTCATTCATGTTTTCATTCATGCACCGCTACAGGAAAAGTTTGGGGGCACCGCACTAATGCCAGCCTCTGCCGGGTCTTAGAGCTGCCTCGGTGAGCAGGACAGACCTGCAAAGCAAGGCAGCCACCTGCAGATCACAATAAAGCCGCGCTGAATTTAAGGCGGTCTAATGCATTTTCTGAAATGTCACCCGGGAATGATGAGGAAACAAATATTCAGGTGCCTCAGGTGCAGCTCCTCCAGCTGAGCGTGGGCCTTCAGCAGCTCCCAGGTGTCAGCCGCCGCCCTGAGGAACTGCGGATGCCCTTTGGCCCAGTGTTGCCTCCAGGGCCTGAGGACATGCTGAGCTGGGGGTCCCGGGGCTTCTTGGGGTGCCACCGGGCAGCCTGGCAGGATGTAGCCGCCCCCAAGTGGGAGCGAGAGGGGGCAGAGCGCACGGGGCCAGGGGCAGCCCGGAGCTGAGCAGATGTGACCGCTGGGCGTGGGGACTGATGGCACCGTCCCGGGGGCCCTGGGCTGCGGACTCCAACCTGTCCCCACCTTTGCTTTAGGTAGACGACGCCCAGAGTCTGCTCAGGAGCCTGGAGTCTAGGGCCCAGACCCCGACCGAGGCCGGCTCCCCGCCCAGGAGGAGGAAGAGAGGCGCGCGGGCTTCCAAGGATGCGGAGGCTCTGGACGTAAGTGGGGTGCGTGGGGTGCCTGCCCAGGGGCACGTGGGCATTCTCCGTCCTTCCCCCTCCCTCCCTGGCCTGCACAGGCACCTCCAGACAAGCCTCTGACAGAGGGCCAGTGGCTTCCTCTGGGGCGTCATTTACACCCGGTAACAGGCAAGGGGTTCCGCTTCCAGTTTGATGAGTGACAGCTGTGAACACCCTTGACCCCGGTACCCCAGTCAGGGATGCTGCACCCCTGGAGAGCTCCCCAGCGCCCTGCGCCCCTTTCCGGCCTATCCCCACACCCCCAGCCCCCTCCTGAGGCAACCACTGCGCATTTCCAGCGCTGCCCTGGCCGTGGTCCCAGGCTTCCACACGTGGCCTGGTGCCTATGTGTCCTCGTGTCCCGCCTTCGAGATGCAGCCATGTCCTCACACCTGTTAGCCATTCGTCCTGTGGTCATGTGGCCCGGCGTGGGGCTGTGCCCGGCGGGGGGGGGGCTGTGCCCAGTGGGGGGCTGTGCCCGGCGGGGGGGGGCTGTGCCCGGCGGGGGGGGCTGTGCCCGGCGGGGGGGGCTGTGCCCGGCGGGGGGCTGTGCCCAGCAGGGGCTGTGCCCGGTGTGGGGCTGTGCCCAGCAGGGGCTGTGCCCGGTGTGGGGCTGTGCCCGGCGTGGGGTTGTGCCCGGCGGGGGGGCTGTGCCCAGCAGGGGCTGTGCCCGGCATGGGGCTGTGCCCGGTGTGGAGCTGTGCCCAGTGGGGGGCTGTGCCTGGCGTGGGGCTGTGCCCGGTGTGGTGTGGGTGGTGTCCACTATTCCAAATGAGGCCTCTATGGATGTGTGTGTATAGGTTGCTTTCATTTGGCTTTATTTCTTTGAAGTAAAAACGAAGTAAACTTCTAGGAAGTGGAGTCCTGGGATGGAGACGTTCAGAGTTGGATCCTCCCTGTACCCCCTTCCTGGTCCCCCCCCTCAGTCCAGCCCAAGCCTCCTGGGAGCATCACTTCCTGGGTGGGTCCAGGATCCCGGAACCCAGTCCCAGCTCTGCCCCCTGTTCGCTGTGTGATGTGAGGCGAGACACATAACCTCCCTGAGCCTCTGGGTTCTCGGCTTTACGATGACCGTGATCCTCGGCTCCTCGGGGTCCCGTGAGTCGGCTGGGCTCGTTCCTGCAGCGGAGTAAGGGCCGGAGCAGCGTGTGCAGGGAGCTTGGCTTCCCCCCTCCCAGAGGCACATGCATGTTTTTTCCTGGGAGCTGTGCAGCTGTGCCCAGGCCACGCCGTGCCGAGCTAATAATTGCCAGAGTTGAGTTAAAGATCTGCCCGCTCTGGGGACTGGCTGGCCCGGATGCCCCTGCAGACCGGGCCTCTGAGATAGGGCAGGGGACTGACTGACAGGGCGTGTCCCCCTCTGACCCCGTGTCCTCTGAGGCACGGAGACCGAGGTACACGTGCCTCCCGCCACCCCTGGTCGGAGCTCTGGAGAAACAGTCCATGTCAGCCAAACACACACACGGGCCCCTGGGCCCGGGCCCAGCCCCGGCTCGCTCCCCTGCGTCCTGGCCTGGCGGTGGGTGAGATGCCTCAGCCATGCTCTCACTGATTTCCCGGATGATGGGGTTGCTCTGGCGGAAGAAGGTTTACATGGAAATTTGCGCTGCTTCCAGGTCCCTGAATCTCCGCGTGGCTGCGGCTGGGAGGTTGTCAGAGCTAGGGGGAGCCTGAACTGAGGAGTCCTGAAAGCCACACACAGCCGGGCCCTGCAGGCCGCGGACGCCTGTGCCTGCCCTGGGCCGTGCTGAGGCCTCCGGTCCTCTGTCCGTCCGTCCACTCACAGGCACCAGGACCGGCCCTGGGCCTGCCCCGAAGGGATGGCGCACCCCAGGGGACAGGCCGGAAGAGCCACAGCCGTCTCAGGCCTCCCGCGTGGCTGGGGTGACCATCAGCTGGGCCTGCACAGGCCGGGCGCCCCGCCCGCAGGTCCTGCTCCTGTAGGTGTCCGGTGGCCCAGCCTCTCCATCCTCTTCTCAGAACATGGGTTGCTGTTTTTATTGACTTCAGTGAGGATGGGAGAGAGGGGGAGAGAGAGAGAGAGAGACATCCATGATGAGAGAGAAGCATGGATCGGCTGCCTCCTGCACGCCCTACCCTGGGGATCGAGCCTGCAACCCGGGCCTGTGCCCTGACCGGGAATCGAACCGTGACCTCCTGGTTCCCAGGCCGATGCTCAACCCCTGAGCCACACCAGCCGGGCCATGCTTTTCTCAGGAAGCGCAGCTTTTGCTTCGTGCCTCCCTGTGGAAGATGAACCCCGGAGGGCAGGGGCCGGGCCTTCCTCCACTGTCACCGCTTCTGTCCTTCTCTCACTCGGTGTGAGGAGGTTCCGGGGGCCGCGCCCTCGCTGCTTTGGCATGAAATTCTCAGCAAGTGTGTCTCCTCTCGCACATCAGCCAGGCCCGTGGAGTCACACGGCGTTTGTCCTTCTTCCCAGGAGCGCGCACCGTCCGTCAGCAGCAACGTCACCGCGTTCGCACTGAAGGCGAAGGTCGTCTACCCCATCAACCAGAAGTTCCGGGTGAGACGCCTGCGCCCCGTCCGGGGACCCCGTTGCTCAGCAGCGCCCTGGAGATCGGGGTGGGGAAGTGGGGCTCGATGTGCAGTCCAGGGTTTGAGGGTCTGTGGCAGCCACTGTAACAGGGAAAAGCGTGAGGCTTTGTCACCGAGCAGCACTTTAGGGGTTTGATGGCCGTGTGGCCAGGGCCAGGGGTGCCTGGTGGTCAAGGTAAGGAATCACCGTGGTGTGTGGCACCCCGGGACACCAGGGACAGCACCCACCCTGCTGGAGTGACGCTAGAACAAATGGCGACACGGACACAGCTTGCTCCCAGCATCTCCTTCCCAGACCCCGAGGTTCACGCCAGCAGCCACCCTCCTGGACACTCACGGTGCGGCCGGCGTTGTGCTAGGCGTTGGTCATGCATCCGGCATTCCAGCCTCACGTGCTCCAGCGAGACACATAACACTCGTCTCCACCTCACACGGAGGAAACGGAGGCCCACAGGGGCTTACGGCGCCCGAGGTCACTGGGGCGGTCACCCCGCTCCCGCCTCCCCGGGATGCAGGCCTTGGGTTCATTCCGCGTCGGTCCCCTGATGGTCATGTGCATTGAGTCCCCTTTCTCCTCTGCCGCCCCAGCCTCTGGCCGACGGCTCCTCCAACCCCTCGCTGCACGAAAACTTGAAGCAGGTGGTTTTGCCCAACCAGCCGGCCGAGGCGTCGCCCTGCAGCAGCCTGGGCAGCCTGAGCCAGGCCGAGAAGGAGTGCAGCTCCTCGTCCAGCATCCACTCAGCTGCCAGCGACGACCAGTTCCTCAGCCGCACCTTCCTCTGCGTCCACAGCTTCCCCGAGGCCCTGACCTGCGAGAGGTGAGGAGGGCGGGTGGAGGGCGCAGACCCATGAGGCGTGTCGTTGTCAGGGGAGGAAACGGAGAACAGGGGCCCAGAGATGTGAAGCAACTCAGCCAGGGACACACAGCCGCCCCGGGTCAGAGTGGGACCTGTCTCCCTCTGTCGCTTGCCATGTGGTATCGACCTCGTAAGGGTTATGGGGTCAGGCTCCAGCCTCGGAGAGACCTCAGGGGACCCTCGGTGCGTCAGCGGCGTGCCCCGGGCGTGGCATGGCAGCTAGCGCTGAGTAGGCGCCTTCCGGGTGCTGGGCCGAGCACCGAGCAGTTTGCTAGGAGTGCTCACTGCATGAGCACGAAGGTCAGGTCCGTCCTGTCCCCTGCCCTGTCTCTTCCGCCGGCGGGAGGGAGCATGGGACAGGTTCAGTGATGGGCACCTGTTTATCAGCCAATGAACTGATTCCTCCTGCCAACCTTATCAGGTAGGGGCTAGCTTAGTCCCCGTTTTATGAAGCAAATGTGCTCTGACCCCAGGAATCAAACCATGACCTCCCGGTTCCTAGGTAGGTGCTCCACCACTGAGCCACACCTGCCGATCAGGATTCTCTCTCATCCTTGATGTTTCTACCTCTCTCTCCTTCTCCCTTCCCTCTGAAGTCAATAAAAATGTGTAAATTTAAAAAAAATAAAGTGCGTCTCAGAGAGGCTGAGTGACCTGCCCAAGGCCACAGAGTGGGTGGTGATGGGACCAGATTTGACCTCACCCTCTTACCTCCAAAGCCCACGCTCAGAATCTTCAAACGGTCCAGCCCGGAGCAGGGCTCAGCTTGTGGTCGGTGCCGAAACTCAGTTGTGGGGTCGGGGGCTGTGGGCCGGTCCTCGGGTCTGTCTGGTCAAAGTTCAGTGAGCTTGAGGGATCCTGGACACGGCCCCGGGCTGTGGCATGAGTGGGCTCAGAGCCGGAGCTTGGGGGGGCCCCGCGGGTGGCCCCTGGCGGGAGGGACTGGCTGGACCGGAGCCCCTTTCCTCGCTGGGAAAGGCTGTTTCTGAGCCTTGGACTTAGGGGACGGCCCACCGTCCAGGGTCAGTCGTGTGGAAGGCATTTGGCTGTGTGGGGGGAACCTCACCCTGCCTCTCCCTGCCCCGTGGCCATGACCAACACGGATCTCTCTGGCCCTGGATTTCCTGCACCCACGTCCTCTGTCAGGTGGGCACAGGCTGTCTGCCTGAGCTCAGGAAGGTGCACGCCATACCGTCACTTCTCCCACCTGCCGTCTCCTCCGCGTTTGTCCTGGACGTCCGGGCCGCAGTCCCCTCTGGTCACGAGTGAGCCGCAGAGAGCTGTAACTCCTTCTCGTACACCGTGTGGCTGGTGGGAATCGCCGTGTGCTGCAGACGTAAAGTCTGGAGCCAGGACCCACGTGGCTTGTACTGAGCAGGGATGCCCAGGGATGTCACCTCCCTCCCCCCTCAAACACTCACAGGCCTCTCCCTCTCTCCCTCCCTCTCCCCCCCCCCCTCTCTCGACATTGCAGTGCCGACCTTGACCTGTGCATCTATAACCTCCACCTGAAAGATCTGCTCCAGCTGGACGCGGCGCTGAGGCAGGACCGGCACTTGGTAGGTGGCGAGGCAGGTGCGGCACCCTTCAGGGCTCAGGAAGCACCCGGGCTCTGTGTGCCAGGACCCCCGAGAGGGGGTGTGGGGAGGGAGAGCGACCTTAGGAAGAAAGCCCAGGATGGGAAGGCAGCGCCTGCCTGCGGGAGGGCACCGGCTTCCTTTTACCCAGAGAGAGGGGGGGAGGGAGATAGAGAAAGAGAGAGACAGTCAGAGACACAGGAGAGACAGAGAAAAGGACAGAGATAGAAAGAGACAGAGAGAAAAAGAGACAGAGACAGAGAGAAGCAGGAGAAGGGGGGAAGGAGAGGAGGGAGGAAGCTACTGTTGTTTAAACCATTATTTCTGTTATGTTCCCTTCTTTGGCAATAGATGTTTATTCAGATTTTTAAAATGTGCCTCCTTGAGCTCCTTCCGAGAAAGAAGCCTGATGACGAATTCTACCAGAAGATTCTTTCAAAACAAGAAAATGTAAGTCCTCAATCTGTATTTCCAGGTAACTGGACAATAGCTTATTACAACATGGACAATAGCTTTTTACAATTCTAGAGGCCCAGTGCACAGATTCGTGCACCAATGGGGTCCCTCAGCCTGGCCTGCGGGGGACCGGCCGAAACCGGCTCTCCGACTTCCCCCAAGGGGTCCGAGATTGTGAGAGCGAGGTTCTCGGGTGACACACCCGGAATCGGCTCCCTCCTCTCTGTTCTGGGTGCATCACCGGAGAACCACTGCTGCAAGTCACTGCAGCTCTGTGGCCCCTGCGTTGAGCGTCTGCCCCCTGGTGGTCAGTGCTCATCATAGCTATTACCCTGTTGGATGGTCACTCAGGCTTTTATATACACACACACACACACACACACACACACACACACAAACACTTTTAACATAATACAGAGGTACAGACATGAGTACAGATGTAAAAATCACAGTGTGGACTAAAAGGGGGAAAATATCAGAAGCAGAGAAGCGAGTGGAATGTCAGTCACGTTCTCTGTCCACGAGAGTCACCATGGACGTGACTTCCTGTTCAGGCTCGGGGTGTTTTTAAATATACGATTTCCCAGGGCTGCAGAAGGATTGAGAGGCGCTGTTGCATTGCTTTCTACGCCTGGTCTACTTTTTGTGGGGGGATGAGGACTATGAAAGAAAATAATCATCGTTCTCGAGGCTCTACATTCAAGGAGAAAAATAGGTTTCTCCTATCAAACCTTAAACAGGACAACACCCATAGCACTGAATGATGGTTAAGACATATTCCCCGGGGGGAGGGGGGGATAAATATTCCGTGAGAATGTGAAAAACAAAAGCTTTTCTCTCTCCAGAATGTAAAACACATCCATCCACCGTGTTCTCTATTTCCTTCCTTTGCCTTCGCAGGATTTGGAGGAATTGGAAAAGGGACTCGGGGTCAGGCTGTCAGACGCGGAGGCGCTGGGCGCCGGCGAGTCCCAGTACGCCACGCTGGCCGACGTGGAGAAGAAGGAGAGGGAGTACGCGGAGCTGCTGATCGAGAACGTACGTGCGTGGCGGGCGTTTTCCTGCGTGAAGGCCGTGGTTTCGGGACAGTCCCGCCAGGGAGAGGAGTGGGTGGATGCGCCTAGAACCGTGTTTAATACCGGGATCCCTGCTGGGTTGGCCTGGCGGCAGGGTCCCGCCTCTGCATTGAGCGGTGAGAAGGTGTCAGGAAGGGCCAGGGTTTCCAGAGGGAGGCGCTTTATTGTTGTAGCCAGTCCCCCTGGCTGACGCTTCAGATCCACCTTCATTCAGAGCAGAGGCTGCGCTGGCCCTGTGGGTGCAGTGGGTGCTGCTGCCAGCTCCTCACCCGCTGGGCATCTCTCCTAAAAGCAGGTCCCAAGTCCCTGAGAGGAGGGCTTCCTTCAGATGTTTCTCTCTTTTTGTTTTTGTTCAGGCGTTATGTCTTACACACACAGGTGCTGTGCTGGCGACAGGGAGTCTGATGTGCTTAGACGGGGCCCTGCAGAGAGATGCCAGGCCAGCAGGGGGCGGGGTGTATTTTTCTGGGGTGGGGAGGGGGCGATGACAGGTGAGCAGATGAGGATCTCTGGGTTTCTGGTGTGACAGACGGGGACGCAGGAGCGCTGAGGCGCAGGAGAGAGAGGAGCCGTCTCACCCCGGGTCAGGAAAGGTTTCCGGGAAGAAAGGGCCCAGAGAGGCTGCCTGGGGGAGGCGTGGTGCAGCCCTCGGGGCGGGCGCAGAGAAGGCAGCAGGGAGCGCCAGGAGCGGGCAGAGGCAGAGGGAGCCGACGCAGAGCCTGGAGCTGAGCAGGCTGAGAACCGCTAGCGGGGTCACTTAAGACCTGCGGGAAACACAGACATTCACATCACAATTCATAACAGCAGCACAATGACAGGAAGTAGCCACGAGACTAACTTTATGGTCACCCCCACATGAGGAGCTGCATTAAAGGGTCGCGGCCTCAGGAGGTGGAGAGCCACGGCGCCAGAGTGCGATCCATCGCTGAGAGACGGCTGTGCTCCGACGTGTAACCCGTCCGGGGTCTCGGGCTGATGAGCAGTGGGTTGCAGTTCCCGCGCCTGACCCTGTGGGCCTGAGCCGTCTGGGTTACCGCTCTCGAACCAGGTCTCCCCCCTCCTCTTCCCAGATGGACGCCTTCTGGAGGCAGCTGGAGGGCGTCCAGCGCTGCCTTGTGGACCAGTTCAAGTGCCCCAGCGCCCGAGTGCGCCAGCTGGGGGCGGCGCTGACGGCCAGAATGGTCGCCGCGGAGGGGCTGCTGCGGGACTCCCAGGACCTGCAGGCGCTGGTGAGGCGGGCGGCGGGGCGGGGGGCGGGGCGGGCGGGCCTGGGAGGGGTTTACACAGGGGGGAACCCAGGAAGCTGTAGTGCTGTAGAGATTGCCCAGTTAAACACCTTCTGTGGTGGATGGGGCGCTCCGTGCTTGGGAGTTAGGACGCGGTCGGGGGCAGTGACGAGAGGGTTTGGGCTGAGGGGACTCAGGAGCCACGTCTGCATCTCAGAAAGGCCCGATGCTGTGTGGGGTCGAGTGCGGGGGGCCGGGGTGCGGGGGAACGGAGGGGAGGAGGCTGGGAGACCAGGCGCAGAGGTGATGGTGGGTCGGCGGGAAGGGAACTGGTCAGCGGGGAAGGGGCCGGGATAACGTGGGCCGAGCCAGGTGGCAGGTAACGCTCTGGCGAGGTGGGGAAGGACGCAGGCCTGCAGCTCACATGGTCCACGTGGCCAGCGCGTTGTCACTGCTCCTCCGGCGTCCTCACTCTCCTTCGACAGCCGCCAGCAATGAGCATCTGCTCTGGGACAGAAGGGCCAGCGAGACGGCCTGCAGGCCCCGACCGTAGGCCTCATTTCCTGCGTGGGTGTGGGGTGTGGGGTGTGGGGTGTGAAGTGGGGTGTGGGGTGTGAAGTGGGGTGTGGGGTGTGAAGTGGGGTGTGGGGTGGGTGTCTTCCCTGGAGTCCTGCTCTGAATAACGACCACGCGGCAGGACAAGTGGGCAGTTCTAAGTCTGACGCCGGCATCACCCAAGGTCTCTGAGTCCCAGCACCCGGGCTCTGAGCGCAGAAGCCCTGGCTCCTGGACCTTGACTCTCCCCGTGCTGTCCCAGTGGTGGCGGCCTCGGCCAGGGCTGGGGGGGCTGCGGGAGGTGTGGCTGCGAGGAAGGCGGCTCTCCTCCTGGTCGTAGGTGTGCATGGAGCTCCTTCCCGGAAGAGCGACTCTGGGAAGCACGCAGGATGCACAGCGCTTTGCGTGTGCTGTCGGTGTCCACCTCGCCCCCACGGGGGACCCCGGGCTCCCCGTTTGAGAGGCAGACGCGGGCGGCTCAGGGGCGCTTCTCCCTCTGCTCGGCGTGCAGTGAGGTGGTGCCTGGACGCAGCCGGTGGCTGAGTGCCGCCCCGGACGGCCCAGCCCGACTCCTGGTCCACTCCCCGCAGGCCCTGCTGGACAGGACGATGGGCCGGGTGCGCCTGGCGAAGATGGTCGAGTTCCTGCGGCTGCAGATGCAGGAGGAGACCAAGTGCCGGCTGGCCGCCATCTCCCGCAGCCTGGACCTGCTGGCCGCCCGGGGCCGGCTGTCCGCGCGGCAGAAGGAAGAGCTGCTGACCCAGCAGCACAAGGCCTTCTGGGAGGAGGCCGAGCGCTTCGGCAGGGGTGAGCGGCTTCCGCGGGGCCCGGGGGGCCGGGGGGGCCGGGCTGGGGTTCTGCCCTCAGGGCCCAGTCCCTGAGATGCTCTGCGCTCGCGTGCCTTCCCCAGAGACAGGGTAAAGGGGGCTGCCTCCCTGGCCCGCTCCCCTGCTCCATTTCCTTGTCGGTGATTCCGGCTCACGGAGACCACAGGGTCTCTCGGCCGAGCCACCAGGAACGTGCAGAGGGCAGGAGGGCGGAGGTGCCCAGTGCCCGCCGCCCAGCACCAGCCACGGGCCCCGAGATGCTGGGTGGGGTGTGCAAGGCAGGAGAGGGCACCCCCTGTGGCCACCCCTCTCTCTCTCTCTCTCTCTCTCTCTCACACACACACACACACACACACACACACACACACGCCTTGCTGGGCTGCCTGGGACGTGGCCGGTGAGGGCTAGACATCCGGGCACCTGGAATGGCGGGGCTGCAGGAAGCAGCCTGGTCCTCTGCCTGCAGGGCGAGTGCCCCTCCGTGCCCGCTGCCTCACAGCCTGGGCGAGAGCCCGCTGGCGCTGATCCAAGGCTGCGTGTGCCGGGCCCCTCGGTCTCCTCGGGGCGTCTGTAGGGCACCTGTGCGCCCAGCGAGTCCCCCAGCGGGTTCTGACCCCCACACCGGCCTGAGTCCTGTAGGACCAGCGGGTCGCCAGGTGTCTGAGCTCGGGCCACGGTGACAGATGCTACCACAGGGGCCCGGACCGCAGGCATGTGTTCTGGAAGCTGGAAGTCCAACTCAGTGTGGCCAGATTGGGGTCCCGGGGAGCCCACTCCCGGCCTGCGGGCGCTCCCATCTCTTCTCGGGCCTCTCTCCCCGCCCCCTCCCTCCCGCTGTCTCTGAAAAGCAACGGGAAGGTCCCTCCTGATAATGTGGGCCTTGGCTTGGAGGACCGGGCTCCCGATGCCGGCCTTTGGGAGCACGTGTGCCCGAATAATGAAACTAAAATAAGCCGGGTTCGCCCCTCTGTGGCGCCCCCTCTTGGTGCTGGCGGAAGCAGCAGGAAGGTTCTGCCGGGAGCCGCCTGTGAGGTCCTGGCCGCTTTCCCTTTCAGAGTTTGTGCAGCAAGGCAAGGAGCTGGTCCAGACGTCACAGACCCGCCAGGCGGAGGGCACGGCGCAGCTCACACAGGCCCAGGAGGAGGAGCGCAGGGCCTTCCTGGCGGAGGCGCCGCCGACCACCGACCCCCAGGAGCTCCTCCAGGTGACCCTGTGCGCGACCCCGCTGGCCTGGCGAGGCTCAGGCCCTGTCCCCGGGGGCACTTCTCCGCCAAGTCCTCTGAACCTGCACCCTGGTTCCTAGTCCGCACACGGTGACGAGGGCCCCACTGAGTGGGTCTCCCGGGCCTGGGCAGGCTCAGCAGTGAAGTCAGAGGGCGCTGGCCGGTGGCCGGTGGCCGGTGTTCGGGAGAGAGCAGTGAGGGCGGCCTGCACCGCCTCCTCCTGGCCGGACATAAGCTCAGTCCATGGATCTCCGGGGGTCCAGGCTCGCTGGTCCCTGCCGTGGCCTCGGCCTGCAAGCCAGAGAAGCCACGTGACCCCGTGCCACTTTTCTCGTGTGTGAACAGAGGGTGAACGTCCTTTTGAATATATTTTATTGATTTTTTACAGAGAGGAAGGGAGAGAGAGAGAGAGCCAGAAACGTCGATGAGAGAGAAACATCGACCAGTTGTCTCCTGCACACCCCCTACTGGAGGATGTGCCCGCAACCAATGTACGTGCCCCTGACCGGAATCGAACCTGGGACCCTTCAGTCCGCAGACCGACGCTCTACTGAGCCAAACCGGTTTCGGCTGAACGTCCTTTTGATCCGCGAGCCGGGCGGGTGGGAGGTGTTGGGGGGAGGGGGAACTGCATGTGTCCGCCCCTTTCAGCTCCTCTGTTCACGCCAGGCCTTCCACGGGGTCCTGGAGCGGCAGAGGGTGACGCGCAGCGACCTGGAGGAGGAGGAGGACTTAAGGGCCGCTGAGGCCACGGCCGCGCTCTGCCAGGTACGTGGCCCCTGGAGGGCGGGCTGGAGCCCTCGGGGTCCGAGGGTGCGTGAGGACTAACATCCTGGCCCAGCGGAGAGGGACTCCCCTTGTTCTCCGAGGCCTGAGCAGACAGTGGCCTGCAGGGGGCAGCGCTGGGGGCAGGGAGACGGGAGGCACCATGGAGAGAGCTGGGCCCGGTCCGCTTTGGTGGCCAGCAGCCAGGTCTGCTCCGTTAAAACGGGAGTGAGCTCTCTCCACAGGACTGTCCGGCAGGGGGGATGGATAAGCAAGCTTCACGGCGGAGCAGGGAGGTGCTGTGGGTACAGTGAGCGTCGTAAAGTGTTCCGAGTCTTCTCGTCCTCACTGTCCAGGAGGGTGTGCGTAAGGGAGGGCTTGCGTGCACGGGAGATGCTCACAAGCACCTCACCCTGCAGCCTGGCAGGCTCTTTCCCAGACCTTTTTTTTTGAGACACCCAACAGGCTGTGGTGGGCACGGGGTTGTGAGGCCATCGTGGTGTGGTGGGCACCGTCAGGGTGTGGTGGGCACGGGCTGTGAGATAAACTGATAGTTCTCAGGCTGCGGAGAGCAGCGTTTTCTACATGCCCGCTGCCTCCTGACTGTCAACAAACCTGAGGTCCCATCTGGCTGACACGATGCCGCTACATCCCAGGTGGCGGGTGCCCAGAGTCTCCCGGCCCGTGGGCCTGCTTGCTGCTTGTCCTGCTCGTGCGGGGTCTCTTGAAAGGCCCCTGGGAGTGGGTGAAGCAGATTCCCACGCTTTAGGCTTCACAGCCTCGTTCTCACCAGAGTCAGGGGGACAGTGGGAGGGTGGGGGGCAGGACAATGAGAGAAATGGGCTGTCCTCAGAGAACACAGAGACAGTAGCCTGGCCGTGTCTCAGTGGTTAGAGCATCCGCCCGCACACTGAAGCATCTCAGGTTCGATTCTCCATCCAGGGTCCAGGGTCAAGGGCGCGTCCCTGGGTTGCAGGTTCACTCCCCGCCCCGGTCGGGTGCCTGGGGGAGGCGACCAGTTGATGAGTCTCACATTGATGTCTCTCTTTCCCCTCTCCCGCCCTCTGGCCCTCCCTCCCGATCTTTCCGAAAAGCCATGGGAAAGCATGCTCAGGTGAGGAGGAAACAGAAAAACAGCCTCCACAATAAGCCTCACTTCCGATACCAAACCAAGACCCCAGCCCCTGCGGCCCCTCAGTTCTCTAACGCAGTGGGTGCCAGCCGGTGGCCCGGCTGCAGCTGTCCTCAGGTGGGTGGCTGCCGCAGGCCGAGGTCAGCCCAGGTCCTAGTCCAAGGCCTCACAGGGGGCATGGGCAGCACTGGCCTCCGGGCAGCACTGTGATATCACACTGACCGCTGCCAACCACGGAGGCCCCCGGAGCTGGGCGTCCAATACCAAACCAAGACCCAGCCCCTCTGAGGGATGAGCTGATGGCCCGTGGCCCGAGGCCCCACCCTAATCCCATCACTGTCAAGGCCACCTGTCGGGGCCCAAGCTCCCCCGTAGCCTGAGACCCTCTTATCCAGGAGGACCATCCAAGAACGTGGAGGTCACCTCGCGGGTGCCAGGGCAAACAGGCCTCCCTCTCCACCAGGCGTGACAGGTGGAGGTGTTTTGTTGAAGGCCGTGGTCGGCAAACTGCGAGCCACATGCGGCTCTTTGGCCCCTTGAGTGTGGCTCTTCCACAAAACACCACGTGCGGGCAGGCGTGCACGTACAGTGCGATGGAGACTTCGTGGTCCATGCGCAGAGGTCGGTTTTGGGCCTGGGCGGGTCTGTTTTGAAGTGGTTCTAACACTGAGCCACACTCAAGGGGCCAAAGAGCCCCATGTGGCTTGAGAGCCGCGGTTTGCCGACCGCTGGTTTAAGGGAACTCCGCTGGGAGCCTGGGGGTCAGGCCTGGGGCTCCCAGCACTCACGGCGGAGGGGGCAGTGGCCTCTGAGCAGGAGACGGCGGGCAGTCAGTCAAACAGACGCATGAACTAACTAAGGGATGGAGGAGGGAGCGTGTACCTGCCCTTTCGGCATCCTGAAGGCGCGTGGTGGATCCGATGGCTGCAGGGCAAGTGAGCAGAACTCAGCAGCTAAACAACAGTCATTACCTTGCAGTCCTGAGGGGGCGTCCGAGGGGGCGGGCTGGGCTCCTGCTGGAGGCTCCAAGGGAGAATCTGTCCCCTGACATTTCCGGCTGCTGTGCCTAGGCTCGTGGCCCCTCCTCTGAGCCAGAGCCGGAGACCTGGTGCTCCCGCCTCCTCTCACCTCACTTCCTGCCTCCCTCTCACGGGGGCGGGCCCCGTGCTCCCATCGGACTCACCTGGGCGGCCCAGACTCTTCCTGTTCACCTGCGTCTGCAGAGTCTCTTGGTCCCTGTAAGGCGGCATGCTCAGATTAAGGACGTTTCCATTTCTGTTTTGCTAAGGGTGCTTCTTATGCGTGGAAATTACATTTTGTGAAATGTTTTTTCCTCAGCTGGTCACATAGTCATTACATTTTTTCTGTTCTGTACTGTTAATGTGTCAGATTGCAATGGTGCATTGATTTGGGTAATGCCATTAAGTGCATAGAATTTGCATCTTTCTGTTGAATTAGTCCTTTTAGCATTATGAAGTAAGCCCCTTTATTTCTAGTCACCTTTTTTTTTTTTTTTTCTTAAAGACCATGTTATCTACCATTAACATAGCAAAAAGTGATCCTGTGTTTACTAGATTCTGGTTAAACTCATTCATTCATTTTCAAAAAACTTTGCTAAGACCCTATGTTCCAGGACCTCGTCTGTAAACACCTGCGAGGTATTGAAGCTCTCTTTAACTACCTTCGTTTTCTCAGCTGTAAACTTCTTTCACCAGTTTTGGGAAGTGTCTAAGCCATCATCCCGTCCAATATTGCTTCTTCCTGTGCTCTCTCCTTTCTTTCTTTGGAGACTCCGGTGGGAAATGTCCGATTTTGGCCCTGCCCGTGTTCCTCAGTGGTTAGGGCATATGCCACACACAGAATTTTGTAAAATGTTTTCCCTCATCTGGTCACATAGTCATCATGATAGTTGTCTGCTCGATACTGCTAATGTGTCAATGGCATTGATGCACTGATTTGGGTAATGCCATTAAGTGCATATTCCGGTCAAGAGCATGGACTGGGTTCTGAGTTCACTCCCTCCCCACTCATCGGGGCATATGTAGAAGCCAACCAGTCAATGAGTCTCACATCAATGTTTCTCTCTCTCTCTCTCTCTCTCTCTCTCTCTCTCTCTCTCTCTCTCTCCCCCCCCCCCCTTCCTCCCTCCCTTCTACTCTCTCTCTCTCTCTCTCTCTCTGAAAAGCAATGGGAAGGAAAAAAATCCTTGGGTGAGGATAAAAAAAAAAAAAAGTTGGATTTTCTGATTGCATCTTATGTGCTTTTATCTTCTCCATATTTCCCATGCCTAGTCTCTCCTTGCTTTGTTGAGGATTTCCTCCTGATCTGTCTTCCAGCAGAGTAACTCTCCCTTTAGCTGCCTCTAGCTGCCATTAAGCCTGTTCATCGCTATCTACACTAATAGAAGGGTAGTATGCTAATTAGACCAGATAGATTAAACATCTCCCAGGCGTCCTTCCTGACAAAGCCAGGCCTGACTCGGGCCCAGCCACTCAGGGTTCCGGGTGCCTGTGGCGGGCCCGGGGGAAGGGAAGCTTGGGTCCTGGTGCCAGAGGAAAGCCGGGGCCAGCAGCCAGGGAAGGAAGGCCTGCTCTTAGACACATTTTCGTGCACTGGGCCTCTAGTTAGGTTAATAAAATTGGGCCACCGTCTTCAATTCTGAGAGTTCTAACTCGTTCTTTTAAGCTGAACAGCGTTGTTCCCGGCTCCTTGCTGAGCGTGTGAAGAGTGGCTGTGGCTTCACCAGCACAGGAAGCACCCGCACTTCCTAGTCCAGCCCTGTGCTCCGGCTCTCTGGGCGACTGGTCTGACGGGCACCCGCCCTGTGGCTCTCGGTTGCAGGAGCTGTACCGCGGCACCATGGAGACGTTCCAGACGCTGATGGACGGCCTGTTCCTGCAGACGCTCCCAGGCGTGACGGGCCTCTCGAGGGCGCAGTGCGACTCCGTGCGTCGGGAGGCCCAGGAGGACGCCGCCCTGCAGCTGGGGCGCGCGGACCGCTTCCGCAGGCAGCAGTGGAGGCTGTCCCAGGACCTGCTGGAGCGGGAACAGCAGGTGCAGTGTCCGGGGCAGGCCCAGGGTCCGCTCTTGCTGAACCTTAGGGGCAATAAGGAGAGTTTAGCCCCTGAGCACCTCCTGGCACCCTGGGGAAGGGGGAGGGGTCTTGATCAGGATCCTGGTGGTCGGTGCTTCACCTCAGCCCACAGGGGGGTCAGGGAAGCCCAGCATCGTCTGTGTTCTGGTTCCCCAGGCACTTTGTTCCTGCGGACTCTTCACAGGAGGAGCCAGAGTCTGACATTAAGTGTTACAAGTCACAACGCCCAGGACGAAGCCTGGCTGCAGGGCTTGATGCGGGCTGTGTTTTACTGGAGTTCTGTGTGCAGTGGGCGCCCTCTTCAGGCGGCTGAGGGTAGCACCCCTGGGGCAGCCACAGAGGCTGGAAAAGGGAAGGCCTGGCCTTCATGCCTGAGCCCCCGCCTGGGCGCCTGGGCCCTGTTCTGGGGCACAGACTCCTCGGGAAGGAGCACGGCAGGCCACAGGGGATTTGTGTTTGGAGAAAGCCGGGCCTGATGCAGTCCCTGCCCCACTCCTTAAAGGTATTAGCTACAGGGCCTCGGGCCTCAGGAGTTTTCACAGATGTAATCCAATTAAATGGCAGGAACACGCAGGAGGAAAAGCCATTTTCCTAAGCTTGCTAAAATCCATAGGGAAGGAAGGACAACCAAGCATAGCTAATGCACGAGAACATGGGAGCCCTGCCCCGGCTGCCAGGAGGTTCTCTGTGAGTGGCAGCTGAGAAGCAAGTGATGTGGTGCAGAAATGAACTGACCACAGGATACAAGAGCAGAGAAGGAGGCATATGCATCTATGGAAACTAATGTGATCCAAGGTGGCATGACGGCCAGTCATCCTACCTAATAAAGAGGGAATATGCTAATTGACCCTCACACCATCGCAAAGATGGCGGTGCCCACAGCCAATAAGGGGGGTGATATGCTAATTAACTGCCACACCCTTAGAGATGGTGGCACCCACAGCCACAAGATGGGGGCACCCAGTCCCCTCAGCCCCACCAAGGCGGCAGGCATGTGGCAAAGCTGGGCCTGTCCCCAGGCGGGCCCGGCTGCTCTGCCTGCCTCTGGAGTCCCCCAGTCCCCTCAGTCCCCCAGCTACCCAGGGCCGCCTGAGGCTCAGGTAACCAGGGCCGGCCAAGGCTTGTGCTGCTGATAGTACTAAATGCTTTACCCTGCAAATAGAAAGATGTGTAAGTCTTCACAAGGAACTCTAAGAGAGAATGTTTATGAAATGAGGGGAGAAGGGTTTTAAACAAGACATAAGAGGCAGGTTCCAGCGAAGCCACGACGGTGAGCGGAGCCCCGGCTGACCGTGTCCCTCTGCCTGGCGTCCAGGTGTGGACGGAGGAGCTCGCCCTGTCCGCCGTGCTGCAGACACACCTGCGGGACCACCACGAGAGCGCCGTCCGCTGCATGCTGGGCCGGCTCGGGGGCCTCGGTGAAGAGTGAGTGCAGCTTCCGGAAGGCGGGCCTTGTCTCTGCGCGACCCCACAGCAGTCCGCACCCGTATGGTGGGCACATGGATGCCCGCCTCTCACAGTGCAGTGTGACTGTTAGGGCGCAGTGTGCTAGGGCTTTCCCCAGAAGCAGGGCCAACGAGGGGTGTGTGTGTGTGTGTGTGTGTCTAGCTGTCTATGTGTCTGTACATCTACGGGGCCAATGAGGGGTGTGTGTGTGTGTGTGTGTGTGTGTGTGTGTCTAGCTGTCTATGTGTCTGTGAATCTACAGCTGTAGAGACAGAAGGAGGGGTGTGTGTGTGTGTGTGTATACATATGTGTCTAGCTCTCTAGGTGTCTGTGCATCTACAGCTGTAGAGACAGAAGGAGGGATGTGTGTGTCTGTGTGTGTGTGTCTAGCTGTCTATGTGTCTGTGCATCTACAGCTGTAGAGACAAAAGGAGAGGTGTGTGTATATGTGTGTGTGTGTGTATACATGTGTGTCTAGCTCTCTAGGTGTCTGTGCATCTACAGCTGAAGAGACAGAAGGAGGGGTGTGTGTGTGTGTGTGTGTGTGTATACATGTGTGTCTAGCTCTCTAGGTGTCTGTGCATCTACAGCTGAAGAGACAGAAGGAGGGGTGTGTGTGTGTGTGTGTGTGTATAGCTGTCTATGTGTCTGTACATCTACAGCTGTAGAGACAGAAGGAGAGGTGTGTGTATATGTGTGTGTGTGTGTGTGTGTATACATGTGTGTCTAGCTCTCTAGGTGTCTGTGCATCTACAGCTGAAGAGACAGAAGGAGGGGTGTGTGTATATGTGTGTGTGTGTATATGTGTGTGTGTGTGTACATGTGTGTCTAGCTGTCTAGGTGTCTGTGCATTTACAGCTGAAGAGACAGGAGAGGTGTGTGTATATGTGTGTGTGTGTGTGTGTGTGTATACATGTGTGTCTAGCTCTCTAGGTGTCTGTGCATCTACAGCTGAAGAGACAGAAGGAGGGGTGTGTGTGTGTGTGTGTATACATATGTGTCTAGCTCTCTAGGTGTCTGTGCATCTACAGCTGAAGAGACAGAAGGAGGGGTGTGTGTGTGTGTGTGTGTGTGTGTGTGTGTATACATGCGTGTCTAGCTCTCTAGGTGTCTGTGCATCTACAGCTGAAGAGACAGAAGGAGGGGTGTGTGTGTGTGTGTGTGTGTGTGTGTCTAGCTCTCTAGGTATCTGTGGATCTACACCTGTAGAGACAGGAGGAGAAGAGAGAGCAGCTGTGAGGTTGTGATATCTGCGGGTTGGCAGCCTGGAGACTGGGAAGAGCCCACACGCATCCCCGTCCTGAGTCAGAAGGTCTAGAACCAGGGCAGCCGTGGCCTCAGTCCCAGTCAGAAAGCACCGGCTCCGGACCCAGAAAGAAGCAGTATCTCGGTCTGAGCCCAAAGGCAGGGAAGGCGGTGTCCCAGCTCAGGGCGGGCAGACAGGGGCAGTGCCCGCTCGGTCATGGGCCTTCTCTCTGCTTCAAGCACTCAGCTGGTTAGACGGGGCCCACCGGTATGAGGGAGGGCAGTCTGCTGTCCTGTCTGAGTGTCAGCGTTGATCTCCCCCGGGGACACCCAGAGAATGTCTGAGCAGCTGACACCTGACAGTAACCATCCCAGGCAGAGGAGCCGAGCACTGACCCCGCCCCGCCCGCTCTGCTCTCCCGAAGGTCTGCACGGGGCATCTTGCAGGGCCATGAGCTGCTGCTGCGCCCCGCCCTCCGGAGGCTGGCTCTCCGCGGCCACGGTGTCGCCACGCTGGCGCAGATGAGGCTGTCCGGCAAGAAGCGCCTGCTGCAGGAGCTGCGTGAGCAGCACGCCCTGGAGCAGGGCTCCTCCCAGTGCCTGGACGAGCACCAGTGGCAGCTGCTCGGAGCCCTGGTGAGATCGCTGCGCGGCCCTCGCCCGGCCCTGCCCGGCTCCAGCATGGTAGCCAGAACCCCAGCCCTGCTCCCCCTGGTCTCGGGGGGGGGGGGCGCAGCGGAGGGAGGATGGCCGCCCTGTCAGGGAGGATAGGGGGGCGACCCAGAGGCTCCAGTGCATGCTCGAATGAGAATTGTACTGGAAATGCGTTTGGAATCAGAGCGCAGATGGGCACAGCCATCCCTGGGTGAAGGGGCCCTGTCATCGGAAGAGTTTAGCAATCCTCAAGAAGAACGTGTACTATAAGTTACTGGCTGGGACTCGAACCCAAGCAGGCTGGCTCTAGGTGCCAGCAGGCACGGAGCCATGGGAGCAGCTGGTGTTTTCTGACTCATTGGCGAGGGTTACACTCACACTTCCCAGAATGCTCTGTGGGAAGCAGGCCGCTCTGGCTCTGATTCCCCTCGCCTCCTTCTCTGACTCGTGTTCCCACGAGGAAAGCCGTCCCCAGGGCCCCATGTGTCCTGCTTTGGCTTCGGTGATGTCCCAGATTCCTCCCAGACTCGGAGCTGCTGTGTGACTTTCAAAAAGTTACTTAACCTCTCTGAGCCTCTGTGTCCTGCTCACGCCTAACATTCAGGCTCCCAGTGTTCAGGGACAAGGCGGGAGTGCTTGTGTGTGTGATAGGCTACGGATGGCCCTGGGCATACAGTTGATGCTCACTAAATGCCTTAGGTTGAAGGTACCTTCCACAGACACCTAGCCCACCCATGGCGCTGGGTTTTGCAAGCCCAGAGGCCCCGCTTTCTGGCCCGCTTCCCTCCCTTGCCCGGCCTTCCTGGCCCGGTCCTGCCGATCCTGTGCAGGGCCGCAGCGTGGCTCCTCCCTCTCCTGCCCCTCCTCCCAGGAGGCCCGCGTGCTGGAGGAGACCGGCCGGCTGGAGGAGGAGGCACAGCTCACGCGGCTGCAGCTGCAGCAGCAGCTCCTGGCCGAGGCGCAGGAAGTAGGCCGGCTGCTGCAGCAGCACATGGAGCGGGCCGTGGGGCAGGCGCTGCTGGGGCACGCGCGGGCCGCTGCCACCAGGAGCCGGACCAAGGACCGGGACGACTTCAAGGTGCGTGCCGGCCCCGTCCCTGGGAACGGAGGGCAAGGAGGACTGGGGTGGGGGGACAGGGGCAGAGGAGGGGACGGGTCTGGGCAGCAGGCAGACGGTGTGGCCGGACCTGCCTTCAGCCCCCAGCCGCCTGGGGCCAGCCCGAGGCACAGGCAAACCTCGGATGTCAGCTGCCCAGCAGCCCAGGGCCGCCTGAGGTTTAGGTAACCGGGCCGGCTGAGGCTTGTGCTGCCGGCAGTGGCAGCAGCAGAGGTGTGATGGGGGTGTTGCCTCTCACCCCTGAGGGCTCCTGGATTGTGAGAGGGGGAAGGCCATGCTGAAGGAATCCCCCCGCCCCACTCCAGTGTGTGAATTTTCATGCACCAGGCCTCTATCCTTATATCTAAAACCCTAAGCGACCAATGGTGGTTAGCGATCAGTCTCCCAAACTCCCATGGGATAGCTGGCATATTAGGCTTTTATATAGATAGATTTTCTGTATGAACAACCGAAAACCTACTTTCGGCCAGCCCCATGTTATCAACTGGTTTAAACCAACCTGCATGCATCTCTGCCTGCTTCTGCCCAGTCCAGGTTGGGGGTGAGGAGAGGATGAGAGCCGGGGCCGGAGAGGGGGGGACTGCGTGTGACCTGCTACGTCCTCTCCCTCCTCCCACAGAGGACGCTGCTGGAGGCGGCCGTGGAGAGCGTGTATGTGACCAGCGCAGGCGTCAGCCGGCTGGTGCAGGCGTACGACCAGCAGGTCGGCCGGGCCATGCAGGAGCACGGGGAGCGCTGGCTGGAGCGCCTGGAGGCCCTGCAGGGTACGCGCCTGGGGGAGTCACGCGGCCGGGGTTCTTTTTCCCCAAAAGGCGCAGCATTCTGGAGAAAGGGCTGTGCCTAGGGGACTAAGAAGGAGTCTGTGGACGAAAGGTATTTTTGAGAGGCATAGGGGGTCAGAGGAGCTTCCCGCCAAAGGAGCTAGAAGACTCTCCTCCTTCACCAAGGACCCGTGCTTTTATGAAACACGATTTGTCCCAAGGCGAGGTGGAGATACACACGTCAAAGGGTTTACAGAGCTTGTCAGTTTAAGGAACGCCTACAGCTGTTCAGGTGTTTGGCCAACAGGGGGCAGTAAAATGCCCCGAGCTGTCTGGCAGCAAACAATCACCCTATTCAGGTTTGGGGGAAGTGCCTTAGCCGTTTCCGACAGGTAAACTCCCTGTGACTCGGCCCCGCTGAGCTCCCCATGCTTCACCAGCCTTTCAGTGAAACTTGTGATTATTCCACGCCGGGATTGGTTCTCGGCGCCCCGCAGCCAGGAGCTGGCGAGCTCGGAGAGTTCAAATCTCATTTTTGGAAATGTTCTCTCTTTAATATTCCATTTCCTATGTGTCCCCTGCTCATCCCAAAAAGGCACTTAGAGAAGCGTATGCACGTTACGAGTCTGAGGATCGGACTAGAGCAGTGAGATGGAGTGGGTGGGCGCTGTCCCCGGGACCTGGGTCATCAGAGGGCCACTGAGTGGCCACTGGTTTGACTCTGGGCCCCTGGAGCAGATGGGGGAGGGGGAGGGGAGTCACTGGTGCTCTGCCAGCACACCCCCCTCCCGCCGGCCTGGTACAGAGTCGACCCCTCCAACACGTCTCTGACCGCTGTGCGTTCCCGTTCCAGGCGAGAGAAGGGACAGTTACAAGCTGCGGAAGAAGCAGGAACTCGGCGACCCTCCGCCGGAGGGCGAGGCGGCGGGTGGGACTCGGGAAGCGGCCGAAGGCGTCCACCAGAGGTGAGGCCCCACTGGGCACACTCGGCCCCGTGCCACCCAGCCTGGGACTGGCCTGTAGGTCTCCTGCTGTGCACGCCCGGCCAGGGCCTGGCACCGGCACACACAGTCGGCGTGGCCCTGGCTTCGTTCCTAGCTCCTGGGGCGCCCACAGCCCTGACACCGCACCCCCTCTCCCCCGTACCTTGGGGTCCTCCCGAAGCGGTCGGAGGTGGGTGGTGTATGGGCGGTGACCCCAGGAGGCGCAGTGAGGGAGCCGGAAGCCAGGCAGCCGGGGTCTCCGCTGCCGCCCCGCAGGGACCCGCACAGACCCCGGGGGAGGCAGAGGACTCGCGGTTCCGGGTCAGACGCCTGGGCGCTACTGCTGCTTCCCCGGGACCCACGTGGCAGCACCCAGGGGTGGGCAGGCCGGGCCTGATCTCGGGCTCTGGGGGGCGCTCCAGGCAGCAGCCCTGCCTCGGAGAACAGGGTCCTGTTTCCTCACGGCTGTTAATGGGGGTCCCCTGGCCGCCTGGAGGCCTTTCTCTGCTCCATGCACGTGGCCCCCACATCCGGGGCTGCAGGCCCCGCCGCACCTGGGAGGCCCTGCCTGCTTCCACCTGGCCTCTGGCGCCGGCTGCAGAGACTCTGCTCTCGGGGCTCCGCTGATGGGGCACCTGGTCAGCCAGGGCCTCTCTGAGTCTCCGTCACGGCCTCCTCAGCACCGCCTGGTCCACGTGGCATGACTCCTCACGGGTTTCAGGGATCAGGGCATGGACATCTGTGGGGAGCCCAGCCAGCCCCACCTGCAAGGAGGAGGGTTTCCAGGGCAACGGAGGCCGGGGCACTGGCCTGTGGGGTATCCTGGCCAGGTGTTCCATAGCGACGCCGCGCCCTCCAGCTGGAGGGGGGCTCCGGGAAGGCAGGGGCTGTGAGTCTCTCCCTCACGCCTGCCTCTTCAAAACCTGTCAGCCCCGGGATGCTTTTATGGAGGAGCAAAGGCGTGGATGGGTGGGTGGGTCCGTGCAGGGTGGGTGAACGGATGACGGGTTTTGTAGGATGAATAGGAGTTTGCCAGGCACACGAAAGAAGAGAGCACGAAGCAGAAGCCAGGTGGCATGTGGCGCCTTCCGTGCGCTGCCTGGGCCGCGGCCTGTGGTGCAGAGGCGGCCTCTGCCTTCGGGTCTAGAGACTCAGCAGATCGGGCCTGAAGGCCAGAGGACGGGCAGGGAGTGATGGATCAGGTGATGGGGCTGCAGCGGCCGGAGGACCGTGGGCCAAGGAAGGGAGGAGTTCACACAGCCAGGGAGGTCTCAGCTCCTCAACGGGCAGCGTGGGGGGTGGGGGGCGCGAGGGGTTCTCGTGTTGGGGACCCACTTGAGGCCCAGCTCTGTGTCTTGCGCCAGGAGGGACTCGGCTTCCCAGGAAAGGGGCTGCCTGTGCCCAGGGGAGGGGGGGCGGCGGTCGTGTTAACAGGAGCACTGTGTGTGTGTGTGTGTGTGTGTGTGTGTGTGTCCCGGCTAATGGTTTCCTCACACGAAGACGATGTCACCTGCTGCTCAGCCACTTTGCCGCTGCGGGACCCCAGGGACCCCCCCCCCCCGCCCCTCTGGGCTCCTCCTGCCCCCAACTTTCCTGATCTCTGTCCTGATGTCACCAGGCCACCGTGAGGGTCAGTCAGACTGTGCCCGAGAGGTTCTGTTACCGCCAGCCTGTCGGCGGAGGGGCCCTCGGGGGGCCGTGGGTCACAGCCATTCTTCCCCCGCAGCTGTGGGTCCGGGAAATGCAGGGGCAGCGGCCGGGGAGGTGCGGGAGGGGTGGGAGGCGTGCGCGAGGCTGATGCTCCTGGCGCCCGGGCCTCGCTGATGTCCATGTCCTCCCCGCCCCCCTCCCGCCAGGATGCGGGCGCAGCAGAAACGGTTCCTGGCCCAGTTCACGGCCCACCAGCGCACCCGCCTGGACGTGTGGCAGCAGCGGGCGCAGGGCCTGGACCTCCTGGAGGCCCAGCTGGAGACGCAGCTGCAGGTACAGTTTGGAAGCGGCCCCGGGCGCTGCAGGGCAGGGCTTCTGGGGGCGAAGACTGGCCTTGTGATCACAGATCAGCAGTGGGGTCTTGGTGAGGGGCCGCACGCCCCGCTCGGCTCACTCGGGACCCCTCGGCCCCCGCGGAGTCTCACCACTGATCCCGCATCAGCCTCGCTGAACCTGTGAGCCCGGGGACCCCGCGTCCACAGCCCGGTCCTGGGCAGGGAGCGTCCCCCTGGGCGGGTCCGCCAGCACGTGGGCTGCACCCGTCGGGGCTGATCAGTCCCTTAGGCAGGGCTGCTGGGGACTGAGACTTGTCCTGGACGTAGAACCTTCCGGAAGCGCAGGGCCTGTGCTCGCCCAGGGGCGTCTCGTCACACCTCGCCGGCGTGTGATTACGAAGGAGGGCTGGAAAGCGAATGGACTGCCTCTAACGCAGTGGCTCTGCGCCTTCCTACGGCCGCGGCCCTTTAACACAGCTCCTCGTGTGGTGTGACCGCTGGCCGAAAAGTTATTCTCGTTGCCACTTCATAGCTGTCACTTTGCTGCTGTTACGAATCGGGATGTAAATGTCTGTGTTTTCCGATGGTCTTAGGTGATCAGGCCTGAAGGCCAGAGGACGGGCAGGGAGTGATGGATCAGGTGATGGGGCTGCGGCTCTCAGCCTGTGGGTGGCGGCGGTAGGAAGGTTGGGAACCGCTCCTTTATTTATTTTTATTTTTTATTTTTTTTAAATATTATATATTTTATTGATTTTGTTCAGAGAAGAAGGGAGAGAGATAGAGAGTTAGAAACATCGATGAGAGAGAGTCATCGATCAGCTGCCTCTTGCACACCCCCTACTGGGGATATGCCCGCAACCAAGGTACATGCCTTTGACCGGAATCGAACCCGGGGCCCTTCAGTCCCCAAGCCGACGCTCCATCCATTGAGCCACACCGGTTTTGGCGGGAACGGCTGCTTTAAAGGAAGTCAGATGCTGGGGCGGCTGTGGGGTGTCGGGCCCCAGAGCACACGCCACCAGTGGGGCAGTGACGGGGTGACCACGGGGAGGATGGAGAGGCACTCGGTGACGGAGGCGTCCCTGGCTGAGCTCCCTGTGCCACCGGATGTCGCCCTCCGGCTGAGAAGAAGGTTCCTGTGGGGATCCCAGCTACAGATGGGGAAACTGAGGCTCCGGGAAGCTGAGTCACAGCCAGGGTCCCACAGTCAGTAAATCCTGGCACCCAAGTCTGTGTGGTTAGCCACGGGGCTGGCATCACTGGAGTCAGGCAGAAGCAGGCGAGATCCCGGACCAGCCGCCTCCGTGGCCTTCCCTGTGCCCCTCACCTCAGTGTTCCCACCTGCAGAATGAGGGTGCGTGGCTGGTGTGAGTGAGGAGGGACAGTTTCCTGGCAGGCGCTGGCCCATGTCAGCTCCCTCCCTCGGGGCCTCTGCCGGCTCCCGGCCTCCCCAGGTGCTCCCGGGAGAACTCTCCTCCACGCGGGGACCCCGTCCTGGGGGAGGGATGGAGGGGGGCTCGCTGATCCCCCACTTTGCCTTCAGGAGGCGGAGCAGAGCTTCATCACCGAGCTGGCGGCCTTGGCCCGGGTGCCCCTTCCCGAAAGCAAGCCGTCTTCCAGCAAGCGGGCGCTGCCAGGTAGGCCTCAGGGGAAGGCTGGGCAGGGGCTCCCGTCTCCCGTCTCCCACTGCCCGGCTGTGTGGCCGTGGGAGCCGCACTTACCCTCTCTGGGCCTTCGTGTCCTATCTGCACGTTAGGACACCCCGGGGCCCCCTGGCTCTCCGTGGGTCAGTGACTCCCCTTCCTGGGCCTGCTGCTCACCTCTGACTCTGTTTCCCCATCTGTAACTCCTCCCCCTGCTGCAGACAGCTCAGTGAGGTCGCCGGGAGAGGCAGCTGCTGATGGGAGAGGCGGGGAAGGTGTGAAAAGACACAAGCTTCTTAAATAAGCCTGGGGCCTGGGCTGTGTTCTCCGGTGCCTGCTGCCTCGGGGCCTTTCCCATCAGCCGGCGGCTGGGGAATCTGAGGGGGGCTGGCAGCCCTGAGTTCGAATCCCGACTTTGCCACACGGGCTGTTCGGCTTGAGAGGACACCTGGCCCAGTAGTGGTCAGCAAACTGCGGCTCTCGAGCCACATGCGGCTTGCAAGCCTCGGTTTGCCGCTCTGTTGACTAATGAGTTTGCCGACCACTGGGATAGGGGCTTAATCACAAGGAACAATAGCCAGTTAGTATTGGAATTAAGAGTCTAGGTCAGTGGTCGGCAAACTCACTAGTCGACAGAGCGGCAAACCTTGGCTCGAAAGCCGCAGGTGGCTCGAGAGCCGCAGTTTGCCGACCACTGACCTGGCCCGTGTCCCGACACTTTAAGTGGGTGTGAGAGCAGCGAGTACCGAGCACATCCCTGGCCCCGAGGATCAGGCTGGCTGGCTGGAGTGAGGCCGAGAAGCTCGCGGGCCCGGGTCCCAGCCAAGCCCGGTCCTGTGTCTTCACAGAGAAGCCGCTGAGGACCAAACGGAAGAAGCCAGCGCCCCGGGACCCCGAGGGACCCAGCCACGAGGAGCCTGCCCCCGGGGAGCACCCCTCAGGACCACGCAGGTACCCAGGGCCCCCGGCTCAGGGCCCCGGTGCTGGTGGGCCAGCTACTGTGTGCGTCCGCCTGGCCGGAGGCGGCATCAGCTCTGAGGCAGCCTTTCTCCCTTGCTTTACGCAGCCAGAGGCCCGGCCAGCCGGAGAGCGACGCTGGGCCCGGGGAGGACCCCAGGAAGCTGCTGAAGAGAAGGAGCAACTTGTAGTTTAAGGCCTGTCCTCCGGGTGGAATGGAAGGACTGAGTGCCTGCCCAGGCCCCTGCCATGTGAGACTGAGGAAGGACCCGCCCACCAGGGGCAGGGTCTCCCTGTGCTCACAGGCCTGGTGTGTGGGGGGTGGAGATGGGGGCTAACAGGCCTGAAGCACCATCGTAAGTGTTTGGACCTGCTGCTCGGACAATCAGACGCCCAGGGCCAGATGCCATCTGCGTGTGTGTGTGTGTGTGTGTGTGTGTATGTGTATGTGTCTCTGTGGCTCCGTCCTCGCTCGGTGCCTCCCGCCACGTGCCCTGCTGCCCGGCACCTGCCTCCCCTTCCCCCCCAGGCTCCCGTTCGTGCCCTCAGGCTCCGGGGAGGGCAGGGTGTGGCTGCTGTGTCCCGGGTGGGAGCTCGGGCCCCCCCCCCCCCCGCCCCATGTCCATCCTGGACTCTGTGGCCACCGGCCGCCACGGGGATCTCACCTGGACCCATTCCTGTCCTGGCTCAGCCCGCAGCCAAGGCCCGGCCACTGAGCGTGAGTCTCAGGGTCCCTGGACCCCGACTCAGGTGCAGACTGCACCCCCTCCCTCGGAGTGTCCCGGAGTCACCGCTTCCCCAGGGGACGGGGAGAATGCCCGAGGCTTCCAGACCGGCCCACGTGCACCCTGGCAGGAGGGTCTTCTCAGCCAAATGCTGGGTTTCGTGTTGGGTGAGGCCATTCTTTTGGTGGCTGTCTGGGCGTCACGGGGCTCTGGGCCCTGGGCCACAGTCTGGGGGTTTTCTGGACTGTTTACGACCTGAGTGTTTATTTCTTAAAACCTGAGCTAGACCGTCTCAGGCAGGAGAGGGGCTCCTTAAAGTGACCCACACTAATGACGGGGTTTAACCGGCCTCAGCACCCGCCAGTTGACTGGTCGGCAGACCTGGTTCCCAAAGTCGGCCTACAGCGCCCTCTTGTGGCCAAAGAAAGCATTTCCTTCTGCAGCCTCTGGAACACAGCTCTCAGGAGCAGCAGCCGAGAACCTGGTCCATAGAGAAATCACTTCTGTTCTCGTCCCCGGGTCCGCACAGAGGCCTCCGGCTGCTGGCTCCCAGCCGGGACGGCTGAGTGGGTGACGAGGTCACGGGCAGGCAGCGTGCCGGCTGCCTCGCGTCCACCCTCCTGCACGGTCATCGGTTCACTTCCTGGTGCAGCCTCCTTAGCCCAGGGGGTGTCACAGGTCACTCCCTGTGGGGCCTTCCCCCGCGGACCCCCGTGGCGCGGGGCACAGAGCTCTGAGAAAGCATCACAGACGACACCCCAGGCAGGCCAGGGGCCGTTCCCTTTATTTTCCACAAGCGCTGAATTCAGAAATAAGAGCCACGACAGGTCGGTCATTAAGTAAAAATGGGGGTGATTACAAAGGAAAACTCTGTACAAAACGTTAAAAATCTGGCCGCCCCGCCAGCCCCCTTGGAGGGATGAGGACACGGGCCACCGGCAGCAGCACCCCCCCCCCCACGGCACCAGCCCCACGCGGGTACGAGAGACCCCTCCCCGGGTGGGGATCTGGCGCGGCCTGACGCCCAGGGCTGGCTGGGAGGACAGACACACAGACCGAGGCCGGGACACGGACGTGGCCGACACACGCCGCTCCAAGCTCCCTGCCTTCCGAGAGCTCACAGGTCCCGGCGGGGGCGGGGGTGGGCTTGTCTCCCGGGCCCACTGAGGTGGGGGCGACGAGTAAACATCTTTGTGTGGAGTCCTGAGGGCCCGAGGCCGGGCCTGTGTCCGGTCGGCCCTCATGTGCCGTCAGACGCTCGCACAGACTTGCATACGTAACCTAGCAACATGCACCAACTACCCTAGAACAGCTACGAGGGTGCAGGGGGACCATGAGCCGGGAGGGGCGGAGGTGGGAGGGCGGGACGGACGGCATGGACACACATCTGGGGGCGAGGGGCTTCCGAGCAAACAGACCACGCTAGTACCACGTCCTCCTAACGCGAAAGGAAAGAGCATCATCCGACGGGTCCCCGTCAGCACACACGGAACTATGGGCTTGGGAAACACCGGCGGCGGCGGGGGAAGGAGTGGACCGTGTTTTCCCAGAATCCTCCGTCCGCTCCTCCGGGGTCAGCCGAGGCTGGTGATGTTGCAGCGGCCTCCTGGGGGCGCCACAATGCGGTGGCCCGTGCGCCTGGGGTGGTTGTCATCTGTCTGGGCACCTGCAAGAGACGGCCGGTCACTCGGGCACCGGCGCCACGTCCCCGCCCCGCGGCGTGCGGCAGCCCGGGGCCGTTCGGGGGAGGCGCTGCGGGGCGGCCTTACCGGACAGGCTGAAGTTGGACTGGTGCAGGTTCCTGAAGGGCGGCGGCTGGTGCTTGGAAGGCGAGGATTTGGCAGAAGGAGCGGGAGTTGCGTACTTGGGCGTCGCCGGCACCTCGTACACAGGACCGTCGTACATGCCCCTGGGGACCCCTTGCAGCCCGGAGACCTAGACAGGAGGGAGGGGGAGCGAGACTGGTGGGCAAGGTACACGCACACTTCCTGTTCAGAAGCCCGCGGTGGCAGTGACCTGAGGTCGCCTTGAGACACGCGTGCGCGCACACACATGCACTCACACATATATGCACACACATACATGCACACATGCTACAAGGCACCTGCTCACTCCACACACACACGTGTACACCCCTCTACAGTGGGCGAAGCCCGGGACCTCCTGGTCCGGTGGTGACCAGGAGTCGCAGGCCGGTCAGTGCCGCAGCTCCACGGCCGTGACGCCCGCCGCCGCCATCGCCGCGGGCCGGGCGCGCACCTTGCTGCGGATCCGGACGCGCTGGTAGAGGTGCTCGGGGAAGGGCTTGCGCGGGATGAAGCGGCCCATGCCCTTGCTGACGCTGAGGGTGCCGTCCTCGAAGACGATCTTGCCCTGGCTGATGACCACCAGCGGCGAGCCGTGGCACTCCGTGCCCTCGAAGATGTTGTACTCCGCGGCCTGCCGGCGAGAACCACGCTGTGCCCTCGCGGTCCCCGGCACAGCCACGGGGTCCCCCACGGGGCCTCCGCCACCCCTCAGGCCACAGCCACTTCCCGGGGCTCTTCCGAAGACCCTCCTCCATGGCTGTGTGATACCCCACCGTGTGCCCTTCCCCTTGGTGACCAGCCCCTCGCTGTTGGGCATTGGGGTTGAGGGTGGTGGTTTATGATCAAGCTAATGTGGTCAGAGGCGTCATGGATGTGATGGGGCCCCTGTTTAGGCACGTGGCTGTGCTCACTAGAACAGACGTTTCTGGGTCTTTTCAAAAATATTCTTTCTTGCCCGGCCGGCATGGCGCAGGGGCTGTCAACCTATGAATCAGGAGGCCATGGTTCGATTCCTGGTTAGGACCCAGGGCCGGGTTGCGGGCTTGATCCCCAGTGTGGGGCGTGCAGGAGGCAGCCGATCCATGATTCTCTCTCTCATCACAGGTGTTCCCATCACTCTCTTCCTCTCCCTGAAGTCAATAAAAACATTTTCTTAAAGTGAACTAGACAACATGTTTCAAAAAGAAAAAGGAAGACAGCACCTGTCGTGATTCGCCCCTGTTAACTACAAGGCAGACCAGGTGTGTTCGCCAGTGAACACACAGTGTTCTCGCATTTCTTCCATGTCCCGGTTCTGCATTCCTGCCCACCCTCCTGCTTACAAGGCTCTCAGATGAATGCCCTCGGGCCTGCTGAATGCAGGAAGGGGCCAGGCACACGCAGGGCACAAGCGCAGAGGTGACCACCCGCCATGGCGTGGGGCCTGGGGCCCGGGAGCGGCCCTGGCTGTGCCCACACAGGCGGCTCCAGGCCCAGGCCTCTCTGCTGCCGACCGTCAGCCATGGACACACAATGGAACAGGCATTTCTAAACCAGATGCAGCGCTCTCCTGCTCCATCACTGGAGGAAGATTCTCGGACCTTGTACTGGCCTCTGTGCGAGAGAACCAGAAGGGGGGAAAGGGGGGGACGGGGGGTGCACAGGCGGGAAGAAACAGACGGCCGTGCTCCTAACAGCTTGAGCCCAGCTGCCCAGACCCCATCCCTCCAGGAGGAGAAGGCAAGCACGGAGCCGGGCAGACAAGCAGGTCGCCCCCTGGCGGCAGCCTGGGTGTCATGCCTACGCGAAGGCCCGGCCAGGAGTGGCGGGGAGCCAGGACTCACCGACTTGTGGCTCTTGGCCGTGATGGTCTTCACCCGGTCAGGGTCCCAGATGACCACATCGGCGTCCGAGCCCACGGCGACCCGCCCTTTCCTGGGGTACAGGTTGAAGATCTTGGCTGCGTTGGTGCTGGTGACGGCCACGAACTGGTTCTCGTCCATTTTGCCTGTGGCCTGAGGGCGAGACCGGCCGATGAGCTGAGGACCGTCCTGTTAGAGGGCTGGAGGCGCCAGGCGGCACAGACCTAGCCTGGGGGTGGGGTCCCTGCAAGGAGCCTGGAACATTCTCCCCTCCCGGCTGAGAGGGCCCAAAGCCGGGCACCTGCGGAGGGAAATGAACGGACCGCCCACGCCCACGCCTGCATCACAGGTCCCCAGCGTCCTGCCCTCCCTGGGCCCAGGGTAACAGGAAGGAACAGCCTTTGGTTTCAGCTCAGTGACCTCACCTTCTTCTTTTTTAAATATATTCTATTGATTTTTTTTTTTTTTTTTTTTACAGAGAGGAAGGGAGAGGGAGAGCTAGAAACATCGATGAGAGAGAATCATTGATCAGCTGCCTCTTGCACACCCCTTACTGGGGATGTGCCCGCAACCAAGGTACATGCCCTTGACCGGAACCGAACCTGGGACCCTTCATTCCGCAGGCCGACGCTCTATATACTGAGCCACACCGGTCAGTTCTGTGACATCACCTTTAGAGGAGCTAAAATGTGGTTATCAACAAGACGGCCCGGCTGGCATGGCTCAGGAGGTCACTGGTTTGATTCCTGGCCAGGGCACAGGCCCGGGTTGCAGGCTCGGTCCCCATTGGGGGACACGCAGGAGGCAGCCAATGAGG